AGTGTCAAAGAAAATACGTATATAACACCAATGGTTCTTAAGAGTAAGCATAGGAGACACCCAACAGTCCTGTTTAAAAGTAGAATTCTAGTCCCCATCTTCCAAAACAAAGACAATGCACCAGACTATACACAGTGCCAATTTTGATTCTTAGTATACAAATCCATATGACAATTGAATTAGAGATAATATAATAGGCAAATATGAATATTTCAACTCAATGTTCTTTAGTAGGGAAAAATTTCTCATTGTATCTCTACACATTATAAAAACTGTTCCATATTATGAATTGAATTAACCCTTTGCTTTATCAGTTACTGATTATTCAGAAAAAAATCTTTCTTTTTCTTTTTTTTTGCAAATGGGCCAGCCATGGGGAAATAGTGCCCCCAGTCCAGTTCCTTCACTTCGCAAATGAGATTCCCTAAGGTGCCTCTACTGATCTTTGCTTGAGCCCCTGCCAGCACTCTGGCTGTTGATTCTCCAGCAGTCTATTGGTTCTTTCTAAATGAAGGATAGTAATTTTTCATTTAATAGCAGACATACTTTCTGACCTTAGTTTGTATGTATCTTGTGATGAAGCCATATTTAGGGACTATTAACACTAACACAGATTTCAGATTTCCACATTCTACTGGGCACTTATGACAATTTAAACTCTATAATCCTCTAGCCCAAACTCAGAATGAGTCAACTCAATGAAATCCCCAAATGGGCTTAATTCTAGTCTGAAATTAAATAGAGCTTGTATTAGCAAATTTTGAATACAATTAATAGAAATTTCTTTTATCTCATATTTGCTTGAATGAATCTTTGGGAAATATATTTGCTCATAACTAAGATAAAATTTTCTTTAGGTGTTATGATATCAAACTGATTGTGTCAACTTGAGGAAGAAACACACAACTGACTGGGTCTGTACAGATTATGAATCTAGTAACAGAAGATTTAAACCCCTTACCAAGAACTATGCAAGAGCTGCTAACCCTCTGTTCTCTCTCTCTCTCTCTCTCTCTCCCTCCCTCCCCCTTTCTCTCTCCTCTTCTTTCCTTTTTTCCTTTCTTCTTTCTTTATGATACTGAGGATAGAACCCAGAAAGTGCTAAATTACACCCCCAATCCCTATTTATTTATTTACATCTTTTATTATAAGACAAGGTCTGTCACTAAGTTGTCCAGGCTGGCCTGGAGGTTGGACTCATCCTGCTATCGTGCCTGAGACTCTGGAGTAGCCGTACTCTTCTGAGTAGTACAAAGTCTCACACCCAGCTGACTTTTTCAACGTTAAGACAAAAGGAATCTGTTAGATTTAGGAGGAAAAATATTGGGGCAGTTCTAACTAAAAGTAACAAATTTATTGTCTTCCATTGTAATTTCACTTACCATCTTAATAGTACCAAGTACAACTATAATTGTTATTAACATTTACTTTCTTTTTTTTTTTTTTGTCTTTTCCCTTTTTATTGGTACCAGGGATCAAACTCACAACTGCCTGCTTACAAGGCAGGCGCTTATGCCACTGAGCTAAATCCCCAGCACCCGTTATTAGCATTTACAAAGATACCTCTTAACCTCATTATATAAAAGTTTCTGTTTCATCTGTTTTCCCACCAATTTAATTTTGACCTTACTATTTATTTATTTAGGCCAATTAATAATTATTTCTGGCCTGGTGTGGTGGTACACATCTGTAATCCCAGCACTTGGGATGCTGAGGCAGGAGGATCATTGTAAGCTTGACATCAGCCTGGGCTATGAAGTGAGCCCAAGGCCAGCCTGAACCACATAGTGAGGCCCTGTCTCAAAAGACAAAAAAAAAAAAAAAAAATTATTTCTAACACTGAATGACTATTTGAACCTTAAAACTGACATTAGCTTCAAGTTTAATTACTTCTCAATATTTGTACCAATAGCAATTTGTTATGTGATCAATCACAGAACTTTCAATGGGACATATACATTCAGACCAAAATATTAACTGAATCTTTAAATACTTGTATTTTTCATCGCTATACTAATTTTAGTTACTGCTAACAACCTCTTCCAACTTTCATCAAATGAAAAGGAAGAAGGATCATTTCCTTTTTACTTATCTGATGGTAATAAAGCTAAACAGATGCAAACACAGCAGTCCTCCAGGTAATTTTACATGACCTTGCTGGAGATAATGGATGCATATTGGCAGTAGCATCATTTCTACTGAACTGGAACAACAGGGAAATTTTATTTTTTTATTTTTTATATTTTTGTTACCAGGGGTTGAATTTGTGACCTCGAGTTTGCCAGGTAGGTACTTATGCTGCTGAGCTAAATCCCCAGCCCACAGGGGAATTTTAGGAAGTTTTCATGTTCAAACCCAACCCTGATGGGGCATTCTCCTGATAGGATACTCTCCTATTGGCTCCTTGACTATTGAGTTGTTGACTATACAATATAGTGTTTTCTATTTTTCTGATTGAAGTAAATCTTACCTTTTTTTTTTTTTTTTTTGGCACCAAGGATTGAACTCACTACTTTATGCATGCCATGCAGGCAGTTATGTCACTGAGCTAAATCTTATCACTTTTTAAGCCTATAGTGGTAATGTTCTCTTTCCCACTGACAAGGGCAAAATACTCTGTATACTCTGGGTTAATGCAATTCAGACATGGAATGTGTCCGTGGACTGTATACTCTGGGTTAATGCAATTTGACAGCCTTTGTTTAGTGTGGCTCTAATTTGCATTTTGGTGAGCACTGAAATTCTCACCAGACTCTCAGCAGCAAATATTTCCCCACAATGATTTTATAAACCATATACTAATTTAATAATTTGGCTGGGCACGGTGCTGCACTCCTGTAATCCCAGCACTCAGGAGGCTGAGGCAGGAGGATCACTGCAAGTTTGAGACCACCTTGGGCTACAAAGTGAGCCCAAGGCCAGCCTGAACCACATAGCAAGACCCTTTCTCAAAAATAAAAATAAAATAAAATCCCCAAAACAAAAAAACAAAACACATGCAAAAACACACTCAAGAAATTAAATTGGGTTGGGGATTTATCTGAGTGGCTTAAGCGCCTGCCTGGCAAGTGTGAGGTCATGAGTTCAATCCCTGGCACCAGAAAAAAAAAAGAAATTACATTATCTATATTATGGAAGATTAAAGAGTTTGCAATTAAAGGATTTAGGTTTTGATCAGGGCCCCCGTACTTACTGATGGCTGAGATTTTTAACAAGTAACTTAACTGAGGCGCTGTAAAGAGGAAAGAAATTTACATATATAACTCTTAAAAACAACATACCAGCTGTGCATCATATTATGAATTTATCAATCATGAGGACTGGATTGTAAGGGAAAGCATAGAGTCACTAAGAATAGGAGTGCTCACTGAACGTTTACTGTGAGTCAGGTACTGGACTAAGGGTTTTCACAGCTTCTCATGACAACTAAATGGGATAAATACTATATGGTGTTCGGTGGAACCACGGACACATTCCATGTCTGAAGAGTAAAAATGGTCAGATGCCAACAGTTTCATGATAACTCAAACTATCATCTTCCAAACTGGAGAAAGTGAAACAGAGAAGTTAGCTAAGATAAACAGCGCCCAGAAACTCAGGTTTATAAGTCATGCAAATAGATGTCAGCACCAACGTAATTGGCCAATATGTTCTATAACTTTCCAACAAGCAGGCAGTTCTAATAGTTTAGTAAGTGCAGCCTCTAAGCTTCAATCAAGTATTACTTTCATGATAATAGAGAGTATATTTTAGGTGTATTTTTAAAAGCCAAGAAATAATATTACAGCAAAGAATCAGCTTAAGAATCAAATGTTTCCCTTCACTGAAGTAGCCCATTAGTTTTGTTTTTGTTTCGTGTGCACATTTTAAAAATGTTATTGGTACATTTTAGATATACATGAGACCATAAATCATAGGGAATCTGAACCTATACATAATATATCTTCTTTTTTTCCCATTCCCCTCCTTTCCACCTCTTTTGGCCTCCTTTATTTACAAAAGCTTTGTTTACATTTTTTTTCTTTCTGGTCTTACTTTTTTCTTGTCCCTCTCCTCGTTCCCCTTCTCACTTGAACATTTTCTTCCCATTTCACAATATTTATTGTGCATTTTGGTCCTTATTTACATTTTTGGTTTCTCCCACCACACAATGCAGTAAACGTGTACAATTTATTGCACTGTTTTGGGCTCTAAGTGCATGCATTTACCTACAAAGGCCTCAGATGGTTCATGTCCTTGTTTCCGGGATTATCTTTCTGTCAATAAATTTACCATCATTCCTTCAACCAACAAATTACTGACTCAACCTCAGGCTCAATTTCTAACCTCTTAGATCTTTTCGATCCTTTCCCCAATTTTTTATCAACTAATAATTTAAATTCATTTTTTTTCAGATTTTGTCTCGTAATAAAAATCTCACTTTGCCATCTAAGATGATTCTTCCCAACAAAAATGAAAGCTTCTTGAGGGAAGAGCAACACATGTTCAAGAATCACAGTCGCCTCTGAGGGGCTGAGTGATGAACCCTTCTCTAATCTCGCCTGTTTGCGCCCTCTGCTCTCATTTCATCTGGAAGTCCGGAAGCTAACTGTCCTAGGGTACTCTTGTATCATATCCTCCATGTTCCATGAGCTTCCTCTTGTCTAAAGTTCAAGGGCAAAGACTAAGCCTTATTCTCTGACTCAACACTGCAAACAGCAAGTCAACACGCCATTAACTAGTCATTAGCAGTTAGAGTTAAGGTTCGCGAGCCTGGCAAACTAAAGCAGGCCCAGTGAGAACGAAAACCACCGGTCCTTTGAAAGCCTCGCAGCCCCTGCTGTCCTTTTAAGGAGGCGTGTGAGGAAATCAGCAGCGCGGCGGCCATTGGCTGAGGAGCGCGCGCCGCTCGACCGCACGCGGCGCATGATGCGTCGGCCGGCGCGCCGCTCTCTGACCGGCAGGGGGCGCCTCGGCGCGCGCCTTTGCCCGGCCGCGCAGTCCACCCGCGCTCTCGGCCCGTGCGCCCGCCAGCCCGCCAGCTGCCCGCGCCAGTCGCAGGCCGAGGGCCAGTCGCCCGCGGGCCGGCGTTCCGCAGCCCGTTCACGCCCCGCCCCTGCCCTTCCGCGGGACGAGTAACGATTACAGGGCACTTTCTCGGCGGCGATTTCTGCTTAGTCATTGCCTTCCAGGAAACCGCTCCCTGGGTTTGGAGTCAACTCTCCCGCGGAGCCAAGCCAGTCGCTCTTCTCTCCCGGCCGCCGCTCCTCCGCTCCGCCGGCGCCCGGCCTCCTCCGCCCGAGCGCAGACCGGGCTGCAGCCGCGTGGGGTCGGCACCCTCGCGCTGACCTCTCGGGCCCCGGACACATCGTCCTGCGGGGCAGTCGCCCATCCGCCCGCCCTCCCACGGTCCCGTCGCCGCTCGGGCGGCCGCTGCCATGGGTACCAACAGTCGCGCGGCCGGAGCGCTCCTGGCGCGGGCCAGCACCCTGCACCTGCAGACCGGGAACCTGCTCAACTGGGGCCGCTTGCGGAAGAAGTGCCCGTCCACGCACAGCGAGGAGGTGAGCGGGCCTGCGGGACAGGCCGCGCCGGCGCGGCGCGGGAGGCTGCGTCCGAGGTCTGCGCGAAGCAGATGGGACGCGCGGCTCCAGCTCTTGGCAGGTGCAGCCGTGCCGCGGTGACGCCCCTACCCGGCCCGGAGCCGGGTCTCGGAGATGCTGGGTCGAGGTCCCCGCTTCGCTCTGTCCTCTTCATACTTCCGCTCACCAGCTACTCGTCCGGGCGAAGGAATAGTTGAGCGATTAGCCGCTAGCAAATCAATAATATTTAGACTTAATTTAGGAGTGCTGACATTGGTTTCTATATTACTGCGAGGCAAAACGACTGAAGACTTAAATATGGCTTTGGAATAGACATTTTTTTTTCTTACCTAGAAATTAATATGCCTCACTTAATTTGCCTGAAGGCTAAGCAGTGGTTCAAAGTAGCAGAGATTAATCTGGAATTACACTGGCCATTCCTGAGTCAGTTGTCATCCATTCATTGCACAACTAATGGCTAAAAAAAATTGGTGGTCCAACATTTATAAAACTACGAAGCAATTTAGTACCGAAAAAAAATTCCCAAGGAATATGTACCAACCAGAAGTTATGTGCCAACTAAAAATGAAAATGATAAACCTTTATACGTAGGAGCTCAGTGACACTGGGAAAGTTAACTCTCTCTAGAATGTTTACATAGTTTTAAAGCTGAATACTAATAACTTTTGTATCAGACTATGGTGAGAAGGAAAGAAATTAATATGTGAAACCACTCAACATAGGGATGTTTATCTCCCAGGCACCTAGTTTCTTGTGAAAGATAAACAAATTAATTAAAAAGAAAAAAATGCCATAGTCTGATGTTGTCAGGTGTGTTCTAAGAGAGTTTTGCTCTTTTGTGAGATGCTGGTAAACAGACTGCAGTAGCATCTGGCATCTCTCTGTAAGTATATGCTGGAATCTAGCATCTTTTAGGAGATGACAACTCTTGATTTTAAATTTAATGGGAGCCAACATCCCTACCCTATTTTGTGTTCCAGTTTCAGCTCAGTTTTTGTTTTGTTTAAATCACTCTACTTTGACTGTTTCTCGTAGTATTTCTGTATTTGGCAATAGAACATTAATTTCTTCCATTACTGATGGTGATGATTCAGTATAGTATTTTGGATGTAAATTAGTAAATTTCTCTGTTATGTCACTGCAACACTCTATAAAGTAGTGGCTTTCAAAGTCATTGGCCACAAGTTATAAGAAATGCATTTTACGCATTCAATTCATAGTTTTATAGTTTATATGTTTATCAATGTATCTGAAACATGAGTCTTACAAAAAGATGTTAGCTCATACATACTGTGTGTTGTCATTTTTTTCTCTTATTTCAGTTGACAAGATGAATTTCTTTTCATGTGACAGATCAAACCAAACACTTCACACGCGCTAGGCAAGTGCAGTATCACTGAGCAGCTACGTCCCATCTCCTTAAAATCATGAGTGCCTAGTACACTAATGCAGGCAAGTTTGAAAAACATTGTTCCAAGGACTAATTCTGGTTCATAATACTTTATTTAGGGTGCATCATCACAGTAGGAGGAAACTAAAGAAACTAGAGCATTAAGGGAACACTTGAAAGAATGACAGCAGTAAAACTGTTTAGTTAGAATAGGATAAGCATGTTTTGTTTCTATGAAATGAGAAACTTTGTAGCAACCAGAGCTCCAAATTGGGAGGTACTGTGGTACTTGAGACAGCTCAACCTTTTTGAAGAGATTAAAGAAACAAAAAAAAAACCTCTTTGTTGAAAAAATGTACACATCATGTAGAGAGTTCAGTTAAATTTCTTCTAGTTCTAATGTGTTCTTATTTCTAAGACTCTTAGCAGATTTTTGTGTTTCACTAGAATTTTTTTTGTTGGAGTTTTTGTTTTTGTACCAAGGATTGAACTCATGACTTAGCATTTGCCAGACACAGGCTTATGCCACTAAGCCAAATCCCCCATCCCTCACTAGAATTTTCTGAAATCAACTATTTTTTTTTTCTTGAGACAAGGTCTTACCTCGTACTTCATGTCAGCCTTAGGCTTGCTGTGTAGCCCAGATGAGCCTCTTAACTGGTGATACTGCTTCGGCCTAATGAGTGCTAGTAATACAGGCTTGATTCATCATACCTGGCTCTGAAATCAAGACGTCTGTCCACTTCTTTAAGAGTATTTGACCAGTCGTATTAGGGTATTTTTTTATTTAGTTTTTCAAAGTATTTTTTAAAAATTCTTATACAACTCCCGATCTAATGATAGGCTTGACTGTGGTGCTATTTTTCTTTAGTAATGTTGTGTGTGTGCCATAAGAATGAAGAGAGCAGGAAACAAAGCAAAATTTTAAAAAGTTAATGATAACCCAATGTAGATAACATGTAACTTACAAGATTAAAAATCATTGGATTTGTGGTATACTCAGTGAATTCTCATGTAATTAATAACTTTGTACTTCTGTCTTAATTTATCTTAATTTTTTTTTTTTTTTTTTTTTGTGAGACCAGGTTTTACTATATAGTTCAGGCTGGCCTTGAATTCACTACGTAGCCAAGGCTGCCCTCAGACTTACAGTGGTCCTTCTGTCTCAGCTTCCCTAGTGCGAAGATTACAAGATTGCACCACCATCTTGGCTCTATCTTGAATTTTGCAGAATCCAAGATTAATTAAGAAAGTAATTTCAACCACTTTAGCTAACCAAACGCTACGAAAAAGTAGTTTCAAGAAAGTAGTGAACACTTTGAAAATATAATTATTTTCCTAAATCGTTGAATTCATAAAGCAATTTTTAAACACAAATGATTCTTCTAGAGGAAAATTTCTTACAATTTTAAAACAAACAAAAACAACAACAAAAAGAAACAAACCATCCCTGGCACAATTATTAACATCTAATTAGTCCTTCTGCCTCAACATTTTACTGACTTAAAAATGACATCTGTCTGGAAGGATTCAAACTAATTTTTATCTACTGACATCAATTTGGATATAAATACTCTTTGCACAAAGGACTAGACTTGGTAACTTAAAGTGGATTATTGTGAATAGCACACAAATTATTGTAGATCATAAATACTAACATAGGTGGTTCTGTGCTCTTAAATTGATAAACCAGTTGTCCTTTTTCATCATCTGTACTAAGATGGAAGTGGTAAAAAACCTTCTTATCATAAGCAGTTGTAATTTAGATTGTGAGTTCAGAAGTTTAGTCTCTGTTGTTGCTATTAAGAACGTGAGGTTATAAGTTTGATCCCTGGTACACCCCCCCCCCCAAAAAAAATGTGCTTGTGCAATTCAGGGGCTAACTTCTAGTTACTCATTTCCTTTTTCATTGATTACCTACACTGTGATCTTGGTTATCTTTAAGGTAGTGATTTCAAACTGCTAGTGTTAGCCAATTAGTGGTCATAAATCATTTTAGTGTGTCATACAATAGCATTTTTTTCTTCTGATAGGATAGAAGCCACTAGAGTGGATGGCTTGTAGTAAACTTACATAACTGTTTTGTGGATTTTGTCTTCTTATGTGAACATGGGTCTTCACTCACTAAGCGAATATATGTCCTGCTTTGGGCCAATGTCAAACAAGTGTGAAACACACAGGCAGAGGAGATAAACACATTAATGAATTTATATGCTATAATGTTAGCGTGAAATACTTGTTTACCCAGGAAAGCATTGAGATAGGTTAGAGGTCTATCTAAGTTTTAAAAAATGGTTTATGAACTGTCATTATGTAGCTTGACCTACAGATTTTTGAATACTTAGCAAGTATTTGGGGGTATTGTCAAAATGAAAAGTCTGTGCTCTTGAGTGCTGAGCAAGTCCAAGATTGAGCTCAGGAGTCTGAATCTTTAACACCACAGATGAATCTAATGTAGTAGTAAATCCAGCTACACTTATTCTGAGTCACTTGTTAATCTTTAAGGAATGTAACATAAAGGAGCCAACAGGCACTTCAGGCTCATTTTAAGTCCAGTTCCCTCTGTTTATAACTTTATTCTTAATTTTTTTTGTTTCTCTACTAGTGTTTTTATGTTTCAGAGGTTTACATAAAGTTTCATCAGTACAAAAAACTATAAAAATAATTAGACTGCTGCTTCAGGTAAAGAATGTTTGGAGAATTATGAATAGAATGAGAAACAGGTCTCAATTTATGTGGAAGGAAACGCATTTAATTCCAATAAACAAAGTTAGAATTAAACTTGTAATTTGTATGGCATTTTCTGTTGATTTTTTTGTCTGCTTATCAAGTCAAGGCATTTTTATTGTAGAAATATGGGAGGTGCATAGAATTGGATTAACAGTTTCAAAATACCTTCCTTTTGCAGCTTCGAGATTGTATCCAAAAGACCTTAAATGAGTGGAGTTCCCAAATCAGCCCAGATTTGGTGAAGGTAAGTGAAATGTGAATACAGTAGAAACAATGCTAGTCAAAAGGGAAATGGAGTACAAACAGGAAGTTACTTGAGAGCACTCAAATAATCAGGGTTTGCAGGGAAATAGATTTAATGCAAGACACATAATTTATAGAAATATTTTATAATATTCACCCAAAAAGTTAAATGCAAAAGAGTACAAGAGGGCTGTCCAAACACTAGAGACCCAAAGAATGCAACTGAGGGTCTGGATCCCATGGCAGTGTCCTGCACAGCTCCAGCTGGACACATAGAGCCCATGGCAATGTCTCATGTAAGTCTGTATCAAAGATCTGCACTGGGAAGGCCTGAAACCAGTAGTGGTAGAAAGTCTGTGTCAGTAGGATGAAGGATCCATGCCAGCAGGCTAAGGGATCTGCACTGTAGCCAGGAAGTGATGCTCAAGGTAAGGACCAGAGTTCCTAGAAGAGAACTGCAGCCATCATCAGCAACAGGGAGAACCCAAGCTCCTCCACCAATGAAAATATCTGAGTTCATAGCAGGAAAACCAGAATGACAAGATTCTCCAGGAGAATCAATAGCGCACCATCTTCCCCTCCTTTTTTTTTTTTTTTTTTTTTAAATTTTATTTTGAAAGTATACAACAGAACTAGACAGAATTAAAGCCAATTAAGATCGCACAGTGAAATTGGTACAGAACTTCACAGCAGGTTACTGGGATAACAGTAATAGGTATCACAGTATATTTTGTTATCTTTGTAATGGTTGTTCTTTCAATCACGTATATCAAATTGAGATGAAATACAGAACACTATAGAACTTATCAAAACAGAATATTGAATAGAGCAGTACTATTAATCAGAAAAGAGCAAAACAGTAATAAAAATATTTGCCTTCAAAGAGATGGTAGAAGGAAGTCCCTCTTATTTGCTATGGTCAACCTCCCCGGATATGCTCAGATTTCTGGTTCCCATTTGCTAATGGGCGGTGCGGGGGAGGGAGAAGGGGGTTTGGGGAAGTGGGATATTTGACTCTAGGCCGTGCATCAGTAGGTTCACTATTGCTTAGCAGGGAGACAGGCTGGTTGTTTGGTTTCACAGCATCCTAAGTTCCAACATGGTGTGGATCTCAGGAGCTGCTGCTGGTTCTTCCACTGGAAGGGTTGCAGTCTTGTTAGCAGGGAGGGGAGGTGCTTGCTTGGCTTCCCAGGGTCCTAAGTTCCAACAATGCGTGGATCTCATGAGCTGCTGCTGGTTCTCCCCCTGGAAGGGCTGCAGTCTGCCACACTGCCACGGATTACCAGGGAGGGGAGGTGCTTGCTTCTTTTTTTTTTTTTTGGTATGGGGGGTTGAACTCATGACCTTGCGCGTGCCAGGTAGCCGTTTATACTACTGAGCTAAATTCCCAGCCCCTCCAGTTCTGCTTTTATGCCATTGGCAACAGTCCTTGGATGTAAAAGACACACCCAGAACCCAGCTGATTCAGTTCAGCAGGTGTTACAAGTTGACCATTAATCAATCCACAGGCAGTTAGCCATGAAACTTCTCGTGGCGTTTACTGTGATGAAAATCTTACCCAGTAGGATTAAGCATAAAGCAGAAAATGTGGATTCTGTAGTCAGCTAGACTACATGCTAGGGTTCTCATATATAATTCACATTATGATTTCCTCACCATCAATGTTTTACTCTACTTGACATTTGGTTGAATAGAGGAATGATTATGGTTGGTACATTGCTTTGGTAGAATATCACCACAATAATACAGTTATTAGAAATAATTTATAAAATTTCAATTTCTGATGAAATAACTGTATTTGATTAAATGCCATTATATTGCTATTATTGAAAATGTTAACATATAAAATACCTTTCTGTATATATTAAGTCCTACTCCGTCAAAGACTTCTTACAAATTTATGTATGTATGCATGTATGTATGTATGTGTTTTTTTGTACTGGGGATCGAACTGACAACCTTGCATTTGCCAGGCAGGCAATGTGCCTACTTTATTATTATTATTATTATTTATCTTTTTTGTTTTTTATTGGTACCAGGGATAGAACTCACAACCGCACACTTGCTAGGCAGGCACTTACGCCGATGAGCTAAATCCCCAGCCCCTGCCAACTTTAAAAGTATACAGGAAAACATACTACAGGTTTATATAACTTCATTGCTGTATGCAAACATTAACGATCATATCTTTGATCAATCTGTTTATTTGAAATGACCATTTATGCATGATTTAAACACTTAGAAAACCCCTGATATATGATGGGTATTGTAATATGCTCACCAATCATAAAGAAGACTCACTGTTTGCTTTGTTAAACCTCATTATGTAAGTTAGTATATTTTGATTGATACATATATTAACATTTTATCATATCCTCATAATTATTCATTACAGTGCATCTGGATGGCCCTTTGAGTTTTTTGGTTTGTTTGTTTTTGTTTTGTTTTTTGAGACACAGTCTCACTATATTGTCTAGGCTGGCCCTGAACTCACTATGTAGCCCAGGCTGGCCTTCAACTTATGGCAGTCCTCCTGCCTCAGCCTTCCAATTACTGGTATTACATAAGTGCGCCACCATGCCCAGCTGGCCCTTGGTTTTTTTAATTACCCCCAGGAAATGAAATGTTTTACCTTAAAATGTTGGTGACCCATAACTAAACATACTTTTGTCATATGATCCACCAGTCTTTCTCCTTGGAGTTGAAAATTTACATATGAGAAAAACCTGCACATGAATGTTTATAGCACTTTTATTTGTAAGTGCCAAAATTTGGAGGCAACCAAGATGTCCTTTAGTAGATGAATGGATAAACAAACTTCGGTACATCTAGACAGTGGACTGTCATTCAACAGCAATGTTCTATCAAGCCATGAAAAGACATGGAAGAACCTTAAATGTGTATTACTAGGTTAAGAAAATCAACCTGAAAAGGCTGTGTACTATTTGATTCTGTTTAACATTATAGAAACACAGTGGAGACAGTGAACAGTGCAGTGGTTTTCCAGAGTTGTGGGGAAAAAGAGATAAGTGAGTGGAGCGTAAAGGATTGTTATGACAGTGATATTACACTGTATGATACTGCAGTGGTGGATGCATGTCGTACATTTGTCTAGGCCCATACCAAGAGTGAACCCTCACATAAACTTGTGATTGTAATGTATCAATGTAGGCTCATTGTTTGCAGCAAATGTACATCTCTGATGGGAATATTGATAATGGGAGGCTGTGCATGTGTGCAGGCAGAAGGTAAATGAAAAGTCTATCCAACATTTGTTTATTTATTTATTGCTACAGGGGATTGAATTCGCAACCTCATGCTTGCCAGGCAGGCGCTTATGCCGCTGAGCTAAATCCCCGGCCACTATCCAATATTTACTATTCTTTGTACAAACTCAACCTTCATACAATTTTCTCTGTTCAATATTGCTGTGAGCCTAAAATTGCTCTAAAAAATAAATTTTTTAAAAAAAGATATGTATATCCTTTTGCAGATTAAGTCAATGACATGAGGATTTAAAGCCTAACAGTCTCTTAAAAAATTTGTGAGCAATGTGAAAAATTAACTACCTACTATTCTAGTAGTTTTATTTTGCCACATGTCCCTCCTCTGCTTATTTTCTAATTTTTTTCTTTTGTTCCTGCATTATTTTGAATACCCAATCAAATCTTCTTCCCAGAAAATAGACACACACACACACACACACACACACACACACACACACACACAGCAGTTTACCTCTATGTCAGGCCTTTACAACCCTTGTAAATTCCATTAGATTTCAAGTAAGGAATTGTTATCTGTGAGTTTTCTGCTGTAAAGAGCATTATGAACAGCAGAGCACTGTATAATTGATCAGAAATAATATTTATTTATCAATATTTATTGTAAATATATTTATTATAGGAGTTTCCAGATGTCTTGGAATGTACTGTATCTCATGCAGTAGAGAAGATTAACCCTGATGAAAGAGAAGAAATGAAAGTTTCTGGTAAAATCCAACTTTCTTTTATATTACCAGCCATGGCTGGCACATGCCTATAATCCCAGCACTTGGGAAGCTAGGGCATAAGGATTGCAAATGGAAGTCCCACCCGGGCAACTTAGTGAGATATTGTCTGGAGAGAAAAAAAGGGCTGGGGATATAGCTCAGGGCAAAGGCCTTGGGTTCAGTCCCCAGTACCACACACTACACACACACACACACACAAGAATTTAAGCTTATATAGATTGAAATTTCTAGATGTGTATATATAGATTATAAGCTGATATGACCTTGGGCTAATGCAGTTTGTGGCCTTCTTTGTAAGCTGATTGAAATAAAGATACGTAGTACACTAAGTGCAATTAATTTTTACCATGTTGTGGTCATGTTATTCACTATAATTAAAGTGCACGTGTAAAATGAGATAGAGCACTGTCTTTTGATTCAAAAAAATAATAACATTTGAGTTTTGTTAGGCACTGTATTTGCCACTTTATGGTTATATTTCTACATATTATTATCAAAACAAGCCTACAAGGTAAGTATTTTATCCCATTAAATAACTTAAAAGTTATCATACAGCTGGCCATGGTGGCATGTTCATGTACTACCAGCTACTTGGGAGACTGATGCCAGATTGCTTAAAGAGTTCAGAGCCAGCCTAAGCAATATTAAAAATGAAACAAAATAAAACACATCTATTAAAAAAGAAGGTAGAAAAGAAAATTGTCATACAGCAGGTAAGTGATTAAACCAGGAGTCCATTCAGATATTCTTGACTCCTTAACACATTCCTTTGTTAATTTCACCTTGCTGTTTTTGTAGAAAAGGAAGTAAAAGCAGCATTCTTTCTTTCTGTAGTTGATTGTAATTGTTCATGACATAGATTCATCTTTGTCCTCAGTTCCTGTAGGGCATGAGATTTTTGATAGGTATCTAAATTCTACTTGTTTGAACTTTCTCCTTTCTACCTGTCTAAAATGCCTCACTTTCAGAGTAACTTCAGGTGGCCCAAATTCACAGACTGAGGAATACTAAGGGAAGGGTTTTCACAGAGTAGAAATATGGGAACCCAGGTAGGACCATAGTAGTAAATACTGACTGACTCACCTGGGAAGGGACATGTGATGGCTTTTCAACAGAGTAGTAGTATGAAGAAAACAGTGTTTTAGGAAGATTATCTAGCATGGGAAAGTAAGGAACAAATATAAGGCATATCAAGCCGGGCGTAGTGGTGCACCATCTATAAATCCCAGCATTTGGGAGGCTGAGGCAGGAGGGTCGTGAGTTCGAGATCAGCCTGGGTTATAAAGTGAGCTCAAGGCCAGCCTGAACTGCATAGCAAGACCCTGTCTCAAAATACCAAAAAAAAGGGCATATCATACAAGTACTTTTGTTGCATATGTTGAATGCCAGTCATCTTACATAACTATTTCACTATCTAGGGCTGGGGATTTAGCTCAGCAGCATAAGCACCTACCTTGCAAGTCGTGAGTTCGATTCCTGGTACCAATAAATAAATAAACTAATTAATTAATTTCACTGTCTGTACTTCTATTTTCCTTTACAATTTTTTGTTTTCTTGTTCTTCTGCTACTCTACCTATTTGTCTACTGAGTAAATTATATTTTGAACAGTGTATATAAAATAAATATGTACATATAAAGTTCAATTTAAATCAAATCAAAGCCTCAGTATTACATATATTTATAAGGTCTGTACATTGAAAATTATTCAAGTTCCCTAGCAACCAAAGAAATGCCATGTAATGTCCTGGGAAGATGTATATTATACCTCGTAAGTTTTTTTAAAGTATTTTTTAAAGCACATACTGAGTTTCCCTTATCCCAAAATTCTTGGGACCTCAAGGGTTTCACATTTTACAAGTTTCTAAATTTTGGAAGATTTACACAGACTTTACTGATTGAACATCTTACAAGGTTAGAAGAGCAGTTCTTACTGTTGGTGGTGTGATAAACTGGTAGACCGTTTTGTGAAGTAGGTAAAATACAGTAAGACTCACAAGAAAATTCAAGTCCTTTGACCCATAATAACATTTCTGAGAATTCATTCTTGGAAAATGATCCAGTGTACTGAACAAGAAATTGAACAAAAGTTACTAAGATATTTTAGTGTTTACATGTAATAACCGAAAACTGGAACTATAAGAGGAATATTTGCTAACCTAAATGTTAAACAAATAGGACCTCAAGTTGAACACTGTCAAAATTACAATATAGGGGCCAGGAGTATAGCCCAGCAGCACGGCGCTTACCTGGCAAGTGTAAGGTCCTAAGTTGATTCCCAGTACCAAATAAAATAAAGTAAAATAAAAATTATGAAATAATGTTGAAGTATTTAAAAGTTCATAAAATCGTACAATAAAAGTAGACTACATAAAAGATCTAAATAGTAATTGTTTTGGATAATGAGACCATTGGCTATTCTTTTTGGTCTCTACCTTTATAGATTTTCCTCGTTTCTAGATTCAGCACATTACTGATATAAAAATATTAAGATAACTAAACTACTACATAATATCAATACTGAATACTTATTACATAAATGTAAATCAAACATAAATAGAAAAAATGTTGTAACTTGCTTCAGATGACCAAAAACTGGAAGGTTATATCTAAAAAACAAAATTACAATATTGGGAAGGTAGGATTGTGGGGGTTTTTTTGTTGTTATTTTTTGTTTTTTTGTCTTTTTCTCCCTTTTTATTGGTACCGGGGATTGAACTCACAACTGCCTGCTTGCAAGGCAGGCGCTTATGCCGCTGAGCTAAATTCCCAGCCCAGGATTGTAGGTTTTTAAAAATTATCTTCTCACTACAACATAGTTTAGTTTATAATTTGTATAGATTTTAGTTTATGGGAGAAAGCATATAATGTGCCTCATTAATGTTTAATTCATAAAAACGTACATTTCGAGTAATTTAAAGTCCTATATTTACCTGATTTGTTGTCTATAAATGGTAAATTAAGTTTTGCTTTTACCTTTGACAAACAGTTGTTTAGTATAATTTAAAAACTATAGTGGAAATATACTTCTGTTTTAATTTTTGTGTTATTTTTGTTTTCCTGAAGAAGATAGGGGCTACATATGGTGGCATGCACCTGTAATCTCAGCATTTGAGAGGCTGAGGCAGAAAGATCACCATGACTTGAAGGCTAGCCTGAGTTACAAAATGAATTCAGCGTGAACTGCATAGTAAACCTTGTCTCAAAAAGACAAAACAAACAAAACAAGATAGGGTCTTGCTACATAATCCAGGCCAGCCTTGAATTTGCAGTCCTCCTGCCTCAGCCGCCCTCATGCTGGGATTATAGTTAAATGTCACCTCACCAGTTTGCTTTTGTATTTTAAGATGAAAACTGTAAAATTATTTTACTAGGAAAGGAAAAATAATTCATTCAGGATTATTTATAATATTAATGCTATGTATGTACCAAATGTAATTACTTTCATTTTCTTCATTACTTAGCAAAACTGTTCATTGTAGGATCAAATTCTTCATCATCAACTAGAAATGCAGTTGACATGGGTAAGCAAAAATTTTAACTTTTTTTTTTTTCTTAATAGCGGATCTTAAGTTACAGTAGGTTTTTTAGTTATAACTTATGCTTAGGTCAAGGTGAAAATGAGCTGATCATAATTTTACTTTTTAAAGTTCTTTTTTTTTTTTTTTAACCAAGGATGGAACTCATAATTTCATGCTTGCCAGGCAGGCACTTATGCTGCTGACCTAAATCTCTAGCTTTAAAGTTTCTTTTTTAAAATTAATTTTACTGGTACATCTTAGATATACGTAACATTCATCATAGGGATTTTTTTTTTTTTTTTTGCGGTACCAGGGATCAAACTCAGGACCTCACACTTGCCAGGCAGGTGCTTATACCGCTGAGCTAAATCCCCGGCCCCATCATAGGGAATTTGTACCTGTGTATGATACATCTTGATTGTTCTTTTTCCTCATTTCCCTCCCTTCCTTTCAACTCCACTTCCCCTTTATGAAAGCTTTGTTTACATATTTTCTTGTACTTTTTTTCTTTTCCTTTCTTTTGTCCCTTCTCCCTTCCCATTTGAACATTTTCTTATGTCACAATATCTGTTAAACATTTTATACTTACTTACACTTTCAGTTTCTCACAGCAGAGCAACAACACAGTATTTAAACATGCGTGTCCAATTTATTTCACTTAAGAGTATGGTCTCAAGTTTATCCTTCTTTATGGTATAATAGTCCTCCATTGTAAAAAAAAAAAAAAAAAAAAACCCACCTCACATCTTTATCCAATCATCCATTCATGGGCATTTGAATGTTTCAAAGATTTAGCAATTACAGACTGCTATCGTAAACTGGGTGTGCATCTATCAAGGTGGTATGATGCTTTTGATTCTCTGAGAAGTTACCATGAAGGGGAATAGCTGGGTCAAATGGAACCTGTAGTGTTTTGAGGAATTTCCATACTGCTTTCCACGGTGGTTGCAGGTTGCACCAATCTACACTCCCAGCAACAGTGGAAAAGGGTTCCTTTTTTTTTTTTCTTTTTTGAGGTAGGGACTTACTATGTAGTGCAGGCTACCTCAAACTCACCGTGATCCTCCTGCCTCAGCCTCATAAGTGCTTGGATTAAGGGCATGCAACAACACACCTGGCATGGATTTCTTTTTCCTCACAGCTCTACCAGCATTTGTGATTGGTTGATTTCTTAATAATAGCCATTCTTTCTGGAGTAAGATGGAATCTCAGTGTTGGTTTTTGGGGTTTTTTTTGTCTTTGTCTTTTTGTTTTTTCTTTTTTATCGGTACCAAGGATCAAACGCACGACCACACACTTGCAAGGCAGGCACTTATGCCACTGAGCTAAATCTTCAGCCCCCAGTGTTGTTTTATTTCCATCTCTCAAATGACCAGTGATGCTGAACATTTTTTCATATATTTATTTACAGTTTCTACTTCTTCAATGTGAGAAATGTCTTTTTAGTTCAGATGCCCATTTTTGGACTAGGTATTTAAATTTGAGATGTCCGTTTTTTTTATATATATTCTAGATATTAGTCCTTTTCTATAGGATTGTTTTCTCTAATTCTGTGATAGATTAATATAAAGCTTCTGTAGAATCATATTGATTCATATAGGGTTATATTTTGACACAAGAAATGTAAAAGATGTAATAATTAAATGTTAACTATCTGGGAATAGAAATTTGCCTTAATCATATTCTTAACTGTTTTATTACTATAGATGGAGTAAAATCAAAGACAACAAGAACAAAACAACTATTTTGTATCTATTTTCAGAGTTAAGTTATTGTGGTATTATATTTACTAAATCCTTTTTCTTTTAAAACATTCTTCCAATATTTATGTTATATAAGTGCATTTAACATCACTGTAAAATGAGCAGTAATTTAAAATAAACTATAGAAAATATCTATCTCTATAAAAACAGATTAAGGCCATTAAATTTAGTTGTTAGAATTTCAGGCTTACTTGCTGTGACCACCAGTTACCGAAGAAAAGGATGATCCGTGTGATATACTAGTGAGCAAGCAGAATGGAGAACAGTAGAGCAAGAGACTTGGAGAACAATTCTCCAATTCCAAGAGAAGAGCAAGTAGAATTGGAGAAAAAACAACATGAAGATAAGGAGGCTACTGAAAAGTCCTGGGACTTAGGAAATAAGAAGAAAGCCTTTTCCTCAGAAAGGGGAACCTGCAGTGGCTGTGAGCTTTACTTGGCAGCTAGATGTGGTTAGAGAACCGAAAACCCTTTGTCTGCCATACAGAGTAGGTGAATGGGTACTTACAGGTTGTTTTTGTTTTGTTTTGTTTTTTTAAGACAGTAGTGTTCTAATGAAATGTAAGGACCAGGGATATAGCTGGTAGCACAGCCTCTGCCATGGCAAGTATAAAGTCCTGAGTTCAATTCCTAGTACCACCTCCCAAAATGTTATATAGAAAACTAGTGAGTTATATGGACAAGCAAACTTAATGGGATACTTTGAAGACTAGAAATTCTTAATTTTATTAGATAATACTTATCCTGTGTTTTTCTTCCCATTAGCCTGTTCAGTCCTTGGAGTTGCACAGCTGGATTCTGTGATCATTGCTTCACCTCCCATTGAAGATGGAGTTAATCTTTCCTTGGAGCATTTACAGCCTTACTGGGAAGAATTAGAAAACTTAGTCCAAAGCAAGAAAATTGTTGCTATAGGTACCTCTGACCTAGACAAAACACAGTTGGAGCAGCTATATCAGTGGGCACAGGTAAAGAATGGCCAGCCCCAGGCCAGGGGTTTAGCTCAGTGGCACAGGCACCTGCCTGCAAGGTCATGAGTTCAATCTCCGGTACCAAAAACAAAACAAAGCAAAAAGAATGGCCAGACCCAAGCACTGTGGGGGAGGAACTTACCTTTTTAGCCTTTGCTGCAGCCTCTTGAGCATCCTGCACATAGTGTACACTTACCGTGGGGTAACTATTTCAAATATGAGAGCTTTGATGCAGGCTTTATTCAGAGTTAAGGTTTTGGGTTTTTTTAGGTATATGTCTAAAGCTGAGTATGGTGGCACATGCCTGTAATCCCATCATTTGGAGATTAGTTGCAAGTTTAAGACCAGCTTGGGCTATAAAGTGAGCTCAAGGCTAGCCTGAACTGCATAGTGAGACCCTGTCTCAAAAGACCAAAAAAAAAAGTATATGTCCAATAGAACAGAATATTAATCTAATTTAAAATGAGTGACAGAAACACTAAAAATTATTTGTTAAAGCTTTTGTATGGATCGATGAAGGCTCTTTCCAGCAGTTTTATGTATGTTACAAAAAAAATTTTTTCCTTAGGTATTATGAGGCTATGATCTTAATTTTCCAAGTGAAGAAATATTATATATAACAAATATTTTATTAGCTGTTAAACATTTGTAAGATTCAGTTTTATACAACTTGATGTGGAATGAATGTGATTACCCCTACTCCCTGGCCTAACAATCTACAAAATTATAAGGGATATTCCTAGTATTTTTTACCTTTATTCTCCATTTTTTTTATTCCTTTTACATCAGCCTCAGCCTTCTCCTTTTGACTTAGTAGTTAGATATGGCCTAAAAGTCCAAGTGGGTTCCAGGTGATAAAGATTAATCACTACAGCTAGTACACATTATCAAATTTTTTCTTTGTAAAATGTGTTTAATAGTCATATTTTAGATATTAAATATATTGTATTGACTGTCTACTTTTAAGACATATTTTGTCTCTTACTGAAACCATTGCATTTAGAATCATGTCTATTTTCCAGGTATATACATTGGATTATTAAATGGTTTTACTAGGAGATGTTTTACTACTGTAGTACTATACTGGCCTTTTCTTTTTCCTAAAGCTATTTTTCCTTTCCCTATTACTACTAAAATGAGTTTGTAAAATATATATATGTTTTTTGGGGTTTTTTTTGTACTGAAGATCAAATTCAACCTCATGCTTGCCAGGAAGATGCTTGTGCTACGGAGCTAATCCCCGGCCCTGGAAAGCATATTTTAATAAAAATACTCATATGTATTGTTTTTAGACCTTAAGCATTATAGAATGTGATTTTTTTCATGTCTTAAAATTAAGACCTTTTCATTGCTTTCTACTTTGTGTATTACCTAATTTAGTAAAGATGTTATAATTTTATTTTTACTTCTAGGTAAAACCAAATAGTAACCAAGTTAATCTTGCCTCCTGCTGTGTGATGCCACCTGATTTGACTGCATTTGCTAAACAGTTTGACATACAGTTGTTGACTCATAATGATCCAAAAGGTAAGACTGATAACTTATCTTACAACAGCTACTTGATGGTGGGCTGACAGAGTAGTTCAGTGTCAGAGTGTTTGCCTAGCATTTTTGAGATCCTGGGTTTAATCCTTGCACAGCAGTGAATAAATAAATAAATAAATGGCATTATTGACATTTGTGTATATAGTGATAGACAATTGTTATTTTTCAGAAGTATTCCACTTAACTAGTATAAATATCTCCAAAAAAGGGCAGATATACTATAAACAAAACTTAGAATCTTAGTATAGGTTATTTTTTTTTTTTTTTTTTTTGTCTTTTTCGTTTTTATCAGTACCAGGGATCGAACTCACGACTGCCTGCTTGCAAGGCAGGCGCTTATGCCGCTGAGCTAAATCCCCAGCCCCTTAGTATAGGTTATTGACTAGATATTTTATTATCACTATCAATGTGTGTATATTTACTGTTAATCAGAAACATTTGACTAAAGAGAAAGGCTTATCTGCCCTCTGTACAATTTTTTTTAGCAATGTTTGACAGGATAACTAGAAAAGCTAGAATGTCGAACATAATTTGTAAACAAATGTTTTGTGGAAGCTATATATAAGTGAAACTTTAAAAAGAAGAGTCATTTTAGTGACAGTCTAACAATGAATCACAATGCTGATTTACTATAAAATATAAGCCATTTAAATTTTAACTTTCCAAATGTTGGCAGACATATCATTTCAGGATCTGTATACTTTTGGGAGTTACCAAGCATAGTCATTGTCACCAGTAGCTGATGATCCATCCTGTGTCCTCTTCAACTTCCACTTTAAAAAAAACTCATTTTTTCAGTAGAAAGAGACTAATATGTCTAGTATTTTATTTTATTTCTGTATGTCTAAACATTGACATTTAGATTATGTGCTAAAACATCATTGTTACAGCAAAATATGTATGTTTATGAGTTGATATTTAATCTTTTTATTTTGATCCTAAACATTCTAGTTAGAATTTATAGGCTGATTGTGACTACACCACTAATGAATTTTTGACATTTTAATTTATAATTAAATACTTTTTTATTTCATTTGTCATGTTTACTGATTCATAAAGTAGTTAATGAGTTATATATGTTAAATTTTTTATTTTTAAACAACGAAGTTGTAAAACATTTAAGTCTGCTTGTCATGTGAAATGAAATTTTGTTTATAAGTCCTCTAAAGGTCTGCCTCTATACTGAAACTGCACTTATTCTTTAGAATGGGTTTATTTTCTATTACCCTTTGTCCTACAAGTCACAGTAACAGTTTAACCACCAGTAGGGTAAAATTGTAAAGTAGTTGATACTAACTTTATAAAATTTTTCCTTATTGACTTTACCTTTCCTCCGTTTCCATTAAATCTAACTGCCATTGTGCCCTGTTCCCTCAGAGTCCTCTTCTTGGTAGACATTCTGATAATCCTGTATTGTTACTGTTCCAAGGGAAGATTTGCGTTCTTGTAATTTGCTCATAGTGAAAACTACTTATGAGCTGTGGGATAACTTACAAAAATTACTTAACCTCTTATTGTCTCAGTTTTTCTTTATAAAGGATAATTTCTAATACATAGGGCAAATGTGTGAGTTTGAGTTCATACATGGAAAGTAATCAGAAAAGTGCCTAAATAATTACTATTAATGCTGCTGAGTATCACAGTAGTTTACTAGGCAATAGGCAGGTCCTTTAGCATTGCAAATCATAGCATGTAGATGGTCACGTACTTTCCATTTGTATGGTTGATTCTGACCTTTATGGAAACTTTCCATTTGTGCAACACTGTTTTGAATAACTAAACGTACTGTACTTAAGACAAATCCCAGCCCTCTTGGAACTTACAGTCAGATGGCAGGAGACAGACAATACAGGGGCTGGGGATTTAGCTCAGCGGCATAAGCGCCTGCCTTGCAAGCAGGCAGTCGTGAGTTCGATCCCTGGTACCGATAAAAACAAAAAAGCCAAAAAAAAAAAAAAAAAAAGAGGGAGACAATACAATAAATATTTAAAATGATGATCAGTAGTATGTGCTATGGCAAAAAGTTGGCTGAAGGAGAAAGTGTCCAAGCAAGGGGTGGTAGTTTTATGTAGGATATATGAGTCAAGAAGCCCTCTTTGCTAAGAGAACATTAATTGGAGACTGGCAATAAGGGAGCAAGCCTTGGGAATATCAGAAGACAATCTGGGAAGAAGGAAGAGCTAATTCAGAGGTCCCAAAATAAGATGATGCTTGTGGTTTTCATGATTCAGGAAGGAGGGCAAAATAAAAATAATAAAGAAGAAAATAGGTTCGATGTGGTGGCACACTCCTGTAATCCCAGCACTTGTGGGGTTGAGGCAGCAGAATTGCTTGCAAGTTCAATACCAACCTGGGCTACAGAGTGACCTCAAGGCCAGCCAGAACTGCATAGTGACACCCTGTCTCAAAAAGACAAAAAAAAAAAAGAACAACAAAACAAAATAGGAAGATGTAGTATAGCTAAGGTTTTTTTTTTAATGATTTCTGGTACCCATTAGAATTCTTTGATCTAAAAAATAAAGGAATGTAAGACTGATACTCATAACATCAGCTGCTGGTGGACGTGTGAAGCACAGTACAGTCCCTCTGGAAAGCAGTTGCCAGGATACTGTGCAAGAGCCTTAAGAATGTGCTCTGGCCCTTCATTCCATAGCCAGGCATGCCATTGAAGGACATTCATCATAGCATTATATATATATGATAGAAAGCCCCAGGGATAAAAGTTACAAGGCAATACATAGTAGTGGAAATAATTTATCATTTCCAATTAGTAGATTTACCTTTTATATTTTCTTGTATTTTGCTATGGCTTTACTTTAGAGTTTCCAGCCAAGCACGGTGGTAGGAGGATTGCCACAAATTTGTGACACTTTGGGCTACAAAATGAGTTGGAGGCCAACCTGTAATACATAGTGAGACAATGTCTTTCAAAAAAACAAAAATACACAACTTTAGAATTTTGTGAGGATCTTTAAAAAACACACACAAATGTTTAATCTCTACTCTACAAAAGGTATGAATTAAACAGGCTAGAGTGCAGATATAGATACTTTTTAAAGAATTTCTGGACCATTTCTGATATTTCAGTTCAGATTCGTAACATACCTGGAAGGATAAGCGTATCTTATCTTTGGTTTTTTTGAAACAGGGGCTTGCTTTGTAGTTGAGGCTGGCCTTGAACTCAAGGAAATCCTCCTACTTCAGCTTCCCAAGTGCTAGGAATACAGGCGTGCGCCACCAGCACGCCAGGCTTTATATTTGGTTTGATGTTCTTCATTTGTTGTGTTTAAATGCTTACTTACAGAGTAAAGTGCTTTTCGCTTTTGAATTTAATACTTTGGGGTTTTATTGCTGTTGTTTTAGAACTGCTTTCTGAAGCAAGTTTCCAAGAAGCTCTTCAGGAAAGCATCCCTGATATTCAAGCACGCGAGTGGGTACCACTGTGGCTGCTGAGGTACTCCGTCATTGTGAAAAGTAGAGGAATCATCAAATCAAAAGGCTACATTTTGCAAGCCAAAAGAAGGGGTTCTTAATTACAACTTAGGGTTTATAACCTAAGTTGATCTGTACTTTTCTTGAATATAAAATTGAGATGTGTAAAAATCTAGCTATGATCTATTAATAGTGTCATTGAGGCACATATTCTTTAGTATGGTGGATAGTATGTTATGTTTTGATTACTTCTTTTGCCTCCATATCAGTCCACTCACGTGAACCACTGTATTGTTTTTATTAAGCAGTTGTTTTCTAATTGAAATTGTCTATATAAAGAAAATACTTGGAATATATTTTTCCTTTATTTTTATGAGTAATAGAAATCAAGAAAATTTGTTGGTAGATATATTTTGGTCTAGGGTTCAGGATAATGTATATACATATTTTTTATTTCCAAAAATTCATCAATTGCTTTTTACTCTACAATATAGCAAAGCAATTTAATTTCAGTTGTTAAAACTGAAATACGGAAAGATATTTTTTTCTGTCACTGATGAATAACTATCACTAACTGGAGTAGCTGGGATCTAGTATTATAAATAAAATTTATTCTTGAATACATGGATAGCAACAATTTTTTATATGTTCTTGCCTGTAGTTTACTTATGCTTTAACTATGTATCCTTGTGCCATATTTTCTTCTATTTACAAAAACAAACCAAAGTAAATCTAAAATGTAGTTTTGAAATTATTGTTTGAAGGCTTTATAAAACTACCACTATCGTCTCTAGATTCTTTATAATTCAAAATGCATCCTCGAAGTATTGCTACTCATTTGAGTTACTTCAGTAAGTATTGCACCCTTACATGTGCTGGGCACTGTGGACTCTAGACAAAACATGAGGCACAGAACTACAATCAGTTATGTGATGGTTGTTTCCCATTAATTACCAACTAGGAGGTACCAAAGCCAGAAAAGTATAAAAAAATTATCTTTACTTCAGGACCAACATTATATATGTGGACAACTTTGAGCTATGATCTAGGTACCAGGGATTATACCCAAACCCCTTGCTAAACCACAAACTCTTACCACTTAACTACGCCCCCCCCCCAGCCTGATCTTAACTATCTTAAATCAGAACAATATAATCAAAACTTTAGAGCTAGAAGAAACTATAGCTCATAGAGTATAATTCACTAGTTTAAGAACCAGAAAACTGCAAATAAATAAGCTATGGCCTTTGATACATACTAAAGTCCTCCTTAATTTTATACATTCATAACCGAGGTAGTTTTTAAAATTTTTTTTTGTCTTTTTCTTTTTTTTTTTACGGGTACCGGGGATTGAACTCACAACCACAGACTTGCAGGGCACGCGCTTATGCCGCTAAGCTAAATCCACAGCTCCGGTTTTTTAAATTCTTTAAAAAATTTCATGTGTCTCAATACTTTTAAACCATGGATCTATAATAATATTATTTTGCTCAGATTTTTTCAAAGTAACTATGGTTACTTTAAGTAGCCATAAAATAAATACAATATAACCTTTTCATACATAAAGTTTTATGGTTTACTAGTTGGAAAATTTGATGATTAGAATTACGTGAATTCAACTGATTTGCCTGCTAAAACTTAGACTTTGAGCTCTTTAAGCCTTTCTAGCCTTTATATAAATCATATGTAACATTAAATATAGTTAACTTTTTAATTTAGAAATGTACAGGATGATTCCACATAAGTCCTTAAATGCTTATTTTAAATCTATGCAGTGAAATGCTGAGATATTTTAAAAAGGAACATTAATGTCCCATTTATCATTTTTCAAAATCTAAAATATACAAAGTGGATTCTCTGAAGGGTTATTTTGAAAATGGAAAAGCAACTTGCATTGATAATGTTTCTGAACCTCAGTAGAAGCTTTTTGTGATCTTTACTCTGTTGACAAAGAAGTAAGGTGATAGATTCATTTTGTGAAGGAGATTATGTATTGAACTTTTAAATGGAATTTTGATGTTTTTGATGTTTCATTCTACCTTAAATAGATTTTTAAGGCTTTATAATTTTTCAAGCTGTTTACATCTTTTTTCATGAACTTCAGAAATTACTGAATAATGAATACTTTCCAAATATTAAGTACTTAATGTTTTAAAAGCCATAAATGAAGTGGTAATATTATCAAATAATCGCTTAAGACTAAAATAAGTGATCAATAGTATATATGACAGATATGCTTTCTGGGAGATGTGAATCTAGTAACCCAAGGTAGAAAGTTTATATAGTTTTTCCCGAGTAAATACATAAAGAAGCTGTAGTTTGTTATTAAATTTCCACAATACACTGGAGCCTTACTTAACACAATGTACTGTAACTTGGAATTTGTCCTGAATGCCACCCATCCAAGAAGCTGTAGTCACCAGAAGGACCACAGTGTTATATATTCACCTGGTGTAAATTGTGAAGACCACATTGTGCCAGTATATTATTAGAGTGTCCACTGAGGGATGGCTAGTGCTAGAACTTGTATCATAAGTAATAGCTAGTAATTTTTCAGGTCTCAAAAAAAAGAGATCATTTGGACCACTCTATAAAAATAAAAAATTAGAAAGTTACTCTGTTCTACATGAATGGTCTCCTCTGTCCCATAGCCAAGTAACAACTAAAATTAGAAACTCAGTTTTCAGTGATAAAAGGTCCAAGGCTCATTTTAGATTTTGTTTCCAGGTTTTCTATTCAATATTTTCAACTTTTGGGTCTGTAAGAACTGATGTATTTATTGTATTTTAGACTAACCATTCATCTTTCTGCCAGATGTATATTTCAAGAAATGTGAAGCTGTTTGAATGAAAATTTTAACCATTTGTGTCATTGTGTGTTTTTATACTCAAATATACCAACTTTTGAGTTTGAACATATTTTTACATCATTAACTTGTACCAATGCTTAATTCTTTCCTTAAGAAGCTGGTGATCGGATTTTTCAGTTCACTAATACAACTTTCATTAATATTTTTATAGTTTCTAGAATTAGAGATACATTTAGGAAAAGTTTTAAATAATTTATGTGTCTGTAGTAGTACACCATAAGATACAAGTTAAATATAAATCATTATTAGTTAAATATTTATAATTTTTTACTTTTGCCTATATTATGGATTTAACTAAAATAAAATGAGTTGTATATTTTTAAATTGAGTTGTTTCAATAGTTGGAAGCATCCTAGAACATTATATTGATTTTAAATTATTTGAACATAAACTGAGTATAATAAATTATGAATAATTTTTAAATATCTAAGCCATGCTTTATTCAACAGATTTATTGAGTTCCTACTATGCGGTAGGTACTGTGTAAAGTGCTACAGACAGATGCAGATGAAAAACCATGCTTGCTTCAAGGAGCATATAGTATCTTTGCGGGGGAGAGGCAATAGAAGACTATTAGGATTGCATTGGTTAATGACAGACATAGGAAAAATAATTGAGCACAGGTGGTAGTAAGTGGGATCAAGTAGTAGAGTAAAGACAATAAAGGCTTCCTTAAAGAAACCAGCTTTATAGTAAGTTCAAAGTTTGAGGTATCATGGGCTTTGTGGGTAGCCACCTTTGTTTGCCTCATCTATAAATAAATTTTACTAAATAATGAAGTGATGTATATGAAAGCTTACAACTTCAAAGAGAATACCACCTTCAAAAGCTTGTTCTTAGCTGGGCATGATTACACACATCTGCAATCAGCCACTCAGGAGGCTAAGGCAAAAGGCCAGCCTGGGCAACTTAGCAAGACTCTGTCTCAGAATCTTAAAAAAGGCTGGGAATATAGTTCAGCACTCTATGTTCAGTTCCACCAAAATGACAAAAAAGCTCATTCTCACTAGAAAGGAATGGCTTTTGTTGAAACTAGATAAAATTGGAAATGAATATTTGATAAGAGCCAGCAATTTAGCTCAGCGGCACAAATGCCTGCCTGGCAAGCACAAGGTTGAGAGTCCAATCCCCAGTACAAAAAAAAAAAAAAAAAAAAAAATTGATAAGAAACTAAAACTTGCCAAACTCCCCTAACTACTGTATGACAGGATATGGCCATGTAGTTCTACTGTTAGAGAAATCAAATGAAATCTTTAATGTGTTTTTTGGGCAATGACTGATTTCTGTTTTTGGTGTATCTGTTGGTCCATTATTTTAAGAACATTGATGTTTTACAATGAGCATTATTTTAATGCAACTGTCTTTCCCCTCATTTCTCTCCTCACTATTCTTATATTTTGGTCTTAAGTTTACTTTTTTTCTCATTGAAATATTTCTTTTCTTATTCTTTCACCAGAGGTCTTTGAGGGCATTGTTACCATTTGGATCTTAAATGTCCCCCTAAAGCGCACGTGTTGTTGGGAGGTGGTAGAACTTTTAGTATGTGAGGCCTAGTTGGAGGAAGTGAAGTCACTGGGACATACTTTTAAAGGGAATATCGGAACCCAAGTCTCTGTCTGTCTGTCTCTGTGTCTCTTTCTCTCTCTCCTTCCTTCTTTTCCCTTCCTCCTCTCTTCCTGGTCACCATGAAGTGAGCCACTTTGCTCTCCCACAAGCTCCTTGCCATGCTGTTCTGCTGCACCTCAGGCTCACAGTGATGGTGCCAAGTGGCTGTGGATTGTTTATCTCAGGTATTTTGTCACAGCTATGGAAAGCAGACTAACAGTGTCAGGGAATCTTCTAGGTCCTTTGTGTAGAAAACCTTTTATTTTGCTCTCAATCTGAAATGATCATTTGACATTAGAGAATTCTAAGTTCCTACGTACTTTCCCTCAACATCTTGAAGATAGAATTCCTTCCAATATAATAACTGTATACTTTTGCTGATGAATATTTGGATTTCCTTCCCTAGCAGTAATCTTTCTTTTCTTTGGTCACTTTTTTTAATTGGAAAGTTAAATCTATTTTTGTTGGGTATGAAATTATAACAAGGAAAATTAAAACTGATTGCAAGGCCTGTTGCTTTGCTTTGTTCTACTCTGCCATCTTCTGCTGTTTTGAGACAGGGCCTTTCCTTGTAACCCAGGCTGAGCTTGAATTCTCTATGTAGTACAAACAGGCTTTGAACTTGTAATCTTCCTGTGTCAGCTGTTGCCCTTATGGGTATCTTCCCAAGAATTAAAAATACCATAGCACAGTGATATATGTGTACTCATGTTTATAGCAGCACAATTTGTAGTAACTAAATCATGGAAACAACCCAAATAACCATTAACTGAAGAATGGATAAGCCATAAAGAACAAACTGGAGACTTTTATAGGTAAATGGATGCAACTTTAGACCATATTCATAAGTGAAATGACTCAGACTCATATGAGTAAACATCGTATTGTCTCCCTAATGTGAGAAGCTGAAACAGTAAATAAGATCCAAAATGTACAATAGGCAGAGCATGGTGGTGCACGCCTGTGATCCCAGCACTCGGGAGGCTCAGGCACGAAGATTGTTATGAGTTGGAGAACAGCCTGGGCTACAAAGTGAGCTCAAGGCCAGCCTGAACTGCATAGTCAGACCCTGTCTCAAAAAGACAAAAAACAAAAACAAAATGTGCAATGGATATTGTGAAATTGGAAGAAACTATTCAAAAGAGAAACTGGGATGGAAAAAAGGGAAAAACTAACCATATATATATATATATATATATATATATACACACACAGACAATAGTTAAGATAGTTATGCTACTAAGTTTTCTTAGTTCATTGAAAAGAAAAGTTCTAATATTGTTTGGGCAGTTAAATACCTATATTTTATACTCTGCATAGCTAATTTAAAGATAGCAGTACACGATTTATTAATCACTGTTACTTTCCTATTGTTTTGAATTTTTTTCCTCCTTAAAGTAAAATTAAAAAGCTGGATGTGGAGGCACATTCTGTAATCCCAGCGCTTGGGAGACCAAAGCAGGAGAATTGCTCTGAGTTAGACGCCAGCCTGAACTTAACAGTGAAATCCCGTCTCAAAAAGAAAAAAAAAAATTAAAGTTAAATATTACATTTTCTCTTATTAAGAGAAACCTAAAGCATAAAAATAAAGAGCAAAATAAAAGATGGTAGAACAGGAAACAGAGAAAGTGTTAACTTTTGGAGATGGAAGGGCATTTAGGAAGAAATGAGGGAGAAGAGATAATGCAAAAAGGAGGCATCTATATGTATCAACTCCCTTTAATGTATGTATTATATATTGCAAATGTACTGATAAAGAAACCCAACAAAAAATAGACCAAAGATTAAGACAGGCTTTTCTCCAAAGAAATCTGATCGGCATTAAGAACATTAAAAGATGCTAAACATTATTAGTCATTAGGTAAATGCAAGTTAAACCACAATGAGATACTTCTTAAATAGCTAAAGTTAAGAGACAGACAATACCAAAAGTTGGTTCAGATGTGGAAGCAGACCTTTCAGATACTGGCTGGTGGGAATGTAAAACAGCACACCCAGTTTGGAAACAACTTACCATTTCTTACAAAGTTAAATGTACACTTACATATGACTTGCCAATTCCACTCCAAATGTTTTTCAAGAGAGTGAAATAAACTATAGACACACAAACTTAAATACTTGGTAAGTCTCACCTGAGCAAGACAACATACAAAGAGAATAATAAAGAATAGGAGACAAGGGGATGCCTCTTACAGTAGGGAAGTGGTCAAGGGGAACGAAGGTGAGGGTAAGGAGGAGAGGAAGGGAAGGTAAGTAGAATGAAGATAAGCCATGTATAAGAACCTAATAGACTCAGTCAATATAAATATTACATGCTATAACATGATCTAAGATTAATAAATCGACAATGAGAATTGGGGTAGGAAAGAGCAAAAAGAAAAATAAGCTGTAGTACGTACATGTAACCCTTTCCCAAGATGTTTGTAAATTGCATGTACTCCAAACGTACTAATAAAATTTTTTAAAACATTTTTTTCAAGAGAAAGTAACATGTTCAAGAAAGACATATGAATGTACATAGCAGCTTTATTCTGTAAAACCTGGAAACCTAAACATCTATTAACAGCTAAATGGATAAATGTGCTATACAATTGAATACCACTCGGCAACAAACAATACTGAACCTGGTACTGTACATGCAATAACGTGAATGGATCTCAGAAACAAGCTGAGCAAAAAAAGCCAGACATGAAAAAGTATAAAGTATTGTTTCTTTATGTAAAATTTTAAAACACAAAATTGATGTCTGTTAACCTGTTGCTGCATCTGGATGAGTCAAGTTCTCTCGGTGTTGCAAAGCGTCAGTCAGAATGCAGCCTCACCTGAAGGCCTGATTGAGAGCTGCTTGGCTTCCAAAATCACTAGTTGGTGGTAAGGTTTAATTCCTCACAGGTTGTCAGAGTGGGGCTTCAGTTTCTCGCTGGCTGTCAGCCTCCCTTAGTTCCCTGCCACATGATTCACTCCATAGGGCATATCACAACATACAACTTCCTGGGATGAATGTTTTGGAAGAAATCAATATGGAAAAAAGCATTTAAAAACCTAATCTTGAAAGTAACACCCATTTTGTTCATACTGTTTCATTGTAAGAACAGCCCACCTTCAGGAGTTTGAAAGCCAAGAGGTGGGCTCACTGAAGACATCTTATAGGTCAGATTCAATATGCGTATGGTGCTCATCCATGTTTTATATGTAACTACTCAGCAATCTCAGGACCAATCCTGAGGCTGAAGAAAAAACATGATCTTAGTGATCATGGCAGACCCCACTGTCTTCCAAAGAGGACTTACTCATACAGATAACAAGCACTGTATATCTCAGTTGTTAGGATTTTGGAGATGGAAATTTTTTCCAGAGATCCACATAGCTCAGTATCCACTGGATATGGGACAAAAGAAAAAATGTATTGACTATTTAGGTAGATCCCAATCCCAAAGGAAAAATTAAACATGATGTGATTAATAGGAGAAAAAGGTTAGGTCATTTATAGGAAATACCTTACACCAAATACACTGACCAGGTTCCAGAAGTTACACAGGTGGATACAAACATGCAAAGACACAAGCTGTTAAAGGAATAAAAAAAAATGTAGCCTTGGAGAAATCTGTGTCACAACTTGACAGCGAGGCCATTTCAAGCACCTAAAAAACTAGCTCATGTTTAGTGAACCTAGTTCATCCCATCTCATTAAGTGGGAGCTTTCAAATCTGCAACTAAACAATTATTCAGACAGGAGAAATGCAGAAATATTCAAGAGCATCCTATGGTTCAAGATAAAATTTGTTGGAGGGCACCTTGTGCACCTGTCACGCATTCTTCTAGTTAAAAAGATAACTGTAAAGGAACAAGAATGGAAGATTCCTCCTTGTATTTCCAACTGGAAAAATGCAAAGGGTTATGCAGTTCCATTAGAGAAACATCTAGTTGCAGATGGAAGAGGATTTTAGATAGTATACATGAATTGATACACCTCTCTTCAGTATGAGTTATCCATTACCCTAATGATGCAAATCATAGGGAAACACTACGTAAATTTTCATGATAAAAACCAAATATGGATATCAGAACACAAGCATACTTTTTAGTTATAGGATATGGGGAGAACTGAAATTTCTTTGCATTATTTAGGTTTTCTTTTTTTAAGAATGGGTTGTGTCTGTGTTTCTCCCCGCTTTTTATTCTTATGGCATATACTGCCTATTGTCTGAGTTTGCAGGGAGAACAAGACAATACAGGACACATAATTTATAGTATTATTTATAATGGTCACCCAAGGAATAAAATACAAGTAGTACAGGAAATCTGTCCATACACTAAAGATCTAGAGAATCTAGCCAAGGGCATAGGATCCCCTGGCACTATCCTGTATGAGTTCAGCTGAAGACCTAGAGTCCATCTCCTAAAAATGTTACCTGGAGGCCTAGAACCCACAACAATGACTCATGCCAAGTCTATTTCATGGGTCTGCGCTGGGATCCTAAGGACAGCTGTGAAAGCCAAAAAGCCTGTGCCAGCGGAATGAAGGATCTTTGCCAGTAGGCTGAGGGTTCTGCACTGGAGCCAGGAAGCAATGCTTAAAGAAAGAACCAGAGCTCCCCGCAAAAAGTACCACGGCTATCTTCAGCAAGGAGGTCCCAAGTTCCTCCAATGATGAGAACAGCCACGTTTGTATCAGGAAGCCAGCATGACAAGCTTCTCCTGAAGATTGAGCAGCACACCACCTTCCCCTGCGGAGTCAGGAACCAATGCTCAATGTAAGGACCAGACACACACCCCCCAAAGTGAACCACAGCCATTCTCAGTAACAGCAAAGTCCTGAGCTCCTCTGACAGTAAGAACACCCAAGTTCATATCAAGAAAAAAGCTCAGCAAGCTCCTCCAGGAGAACCCACAGCAATGGAACTGAAACACAACAATACTTTTCCTCTCCATTTCCCCTTTTTATTTTGGCAGCAATCCTCAGGTGGGCCATCTACATTCAGCACCATGCTGATTCAGTTTGGCTGGTATTACAAGTTGACCACCAGTTAATCCACCACACTGCCCTCCATGCAGAATTGAGATTATTTCCTTTTGTGTGACACTGATAGTATCGTCACAACATTAGTCACAGCTGCTTTATGACTAAAGTTACCCTAGCCATTGTGAGTAGGAAGATATTCATTGAACTGAGGTACCAAATTTTTTTTGTTCATATTGTGCTGTTTACTGTGGAGTAGAGGTAAAGTTTTGCTTAGTGCAACTATTTGTTTCCAATACAAATATTTAGGCAAAAAAATGACAATGCAGAATAACAATATTTTTAGAAGGTTCATGCACTAAGACCTTCATTTTGTGTTAATTTCTGAAAATCCAGAGAGACCTTTTGGTTTAAGATTTAATTAGTAAAATACAGGCTGTGCAGGGAGAGTTTCTCCTTGAATCTAATACTACTATATTTTTACACTGCATTTACCTAAAATTCAGTATAATGTATTTGCTCAAAACCCACATAAAGAAGAGGGTAGACTCGTGGTGGCAAACCTATGGCACACATGCCACAGCAAACAATTTGTACATTGAAAGCTCTAAAAGGTTTGCCATCCCTGGGTTAGACAAAGAACCAAGCAGACCAGGTAGACCATCTAATACAAAACCAGAATGTATTTTTGCCAACTGTCAGCAGACCAGCTCAGTCTTCACCTGTATTGAGTAGTTGCTGACATATTTAGTGTTTGTTTCTTAACCTTAACCTTAAATTATGTTTTAGAAGTTTGGTGGGATTCTTCTTTTTGTTTTTAACTTGAAAGAAGCCATGCTTGCAAGTACATATTACACACTGAATGATTTTCTAATATTCTCCCAATTTTCTGAACCCACCATCATCTTAATTCACTTTTCATGCATTTGTTCAAGTTAAAATTGTAGAGATTAAATGAATGCACATCAAGCTGTTAAAATAGTGTCCATACCATATTATGATTGTCACTGCTCTGTTGCTTTGGTCTCCACTACTCATTTTCTATTGGTTCACTTTCCTTCCTGTACACCTTTTAGAATCTCACTATTTATCTGTCCTATAGTTCTTTCCCTTTTTCTCACATTTCACAGGAGAGTCTATCTAAACCTTTTCTATTGTTGATATATAACCTTCTACTTACAGAGATTAAGGTATCTACCCCCAAAATATCCTTGTTTTCCTCTGTCCTCTTGAAAATCTTTGCATTCACAGAAATCAGATCCTTGCCTCAAAAGAACGTGCATTCTTTTGTGGCTAAACCCCTCCATCTCTTTTTTTTTTTTTATTCCATTTTCAGCCACAGGTAATTTCAGGTCACAAACAGAAAGTAACTTTTTAAAATGTGTTTCAAGCTGGATGTGATGGTGCATGCCTGTGCTCCCAGCACTAGAAAGGCTGAGGCAGGAGGATCACTGTGAGTTTGAGCCCTGGCTGGGCTACATAGTGATAGAATATACAATGTATACAACCTAGAATATTCAACCTAGAATATTCATTGTATACACCCTAGAATATACAATGAGGTTACAAAAATCAAAATCAGGGGCTGGGAATTTAGCTCAGCGGCATAAGCACCTGCCTTGCAAGCAGGCGGTCATGAGTTCCATCCCTGGTACCGATAAAAATGAACAAGACAAAAAAAAAAAAATCAAAATCAAACCAAGCTAAAACAAAGTGTTTCAGATGGAAGAAATCTAGAAGTAGACTACTAAAGGCTGATGTTGCAGATCCACAAGTTCTCTCCACTATTAGGCCATAGAAAGTATAGCCTGCATCTTCATGGCACAAAATTGCCATCTGAAAACCAGCAAACATAACTTAGCGAAGAAAAATAAATTTAGAAAGTCGCGGGGGGATCACCTCTCTTTTAAAACTATGTCCCTAAATAACTCATACATATTAACCAAAATTTGGTAACCAGACACACTCTCCTTCCAGGGAAACAGAAAGAAGCTATTTTTAGCTGGGAGGCAGTATATCCACCAAAATATGAGTGCTGTGACTTTAAATATTAATTTTCTGTCACAAAGAAATAAATAAAATTTCTATTCTGACTTGGTAGGGCACACCCCTTTTCTCCCTTCCAGCAATAATTTCCATTTATTTACTTCCTCATTTTGCTTCTCATTCTAGTTCTCCGCCCTTCATTCAAAAAACAGTAACAAACAAAAACTAGTAGTAGTTCTCATTTTCTTTTCCTTGTCCTCAAAAAAATGTATTTCTCTCCTTTACAGTTTTTTCCACATCTTTTCAGTTTACTCCCAATTCTGATACATCACCTGACATTTAGATTTTCTAGCTTCCTAGTCAAATTTCAGCGGATATCTAGCGTATCTTTTATCCAAAACGAGTCGGTAAATCTTTTATTTGTACTTGACGAATAATACACGAATACACTGATTTTTATAAATGTATAAATAATGTGAAAGTCTCCGCTTACAGCTAGATCAAAACCTTTATAATCACTGAAAATGAATGGAGAGTGAGGTAAATAACGCAATTTTCTACTTTGTTCGAGTAAAATTAGGACAAAGCTCTTTGTCAGTATAGGTGTTTTGTGATTCTATTAGGGTCTCCTAGCAACAGGCTATTCTTTCTTCTGTAGAGCTAAAGGAAAGGATAAAACGAGAAGAGGTCTCGATCTGGAGCCAACAGTGGCCGAGCAATAGAGCAGCAAGCGGAACAAACACAGGTCTGAGAGTCTCGCGAGTTTAGGATAAACTCGGCACTTCTATGACGTATTTCCGAGCCGCCGCGGCTTACGGAAGCCGTGGTATCTACGGAGGGACGGGAGGCCGCAAAAATGGTGGTAACCAGGTCTGCACGTTCTGGGGCTAGAATACAAGTCACGTCGGCCGCCAGCTCCCAGCAGAAGGTATGAATGTTTCTCTTCGCCTCTTGGTAGTGTTCAGGCACGTGGGGGAAAAGTGAGAGGCCGAGCTTGCCAAGGCTGCGGGATAACAAGGCCTGTGCGTTATCTGTCAAGGGAACTGTTAAGTGCTCATCAGTTTTCTAAAGGCAGTGCATAGTGTGGAAGAGAGGATAGGTAGCTTGCCTATCGTCGTTCATCGCCTTAATGAAGATGCACAACACAGTCCTTTAAACGTTAAGTGTTAACGTTAAGTGTTAATGCTGGACCTACCAAGGAAGTTCCGGCCGCCACGTGCAAGCCTCAGTGGGGACGCAGGGCAGGGTTATCCTTACACTCGGGGAGGCTAGCGGTGGCCCAGCTCGAACTCCCATCAGCGTGGACTGTGGTGACACCACCTGGTGGCTCTCGGCCGCTGCAACGTTTTTCGGATTCTGCAGTGAAGGGAACCTAGCTCGGATATTTGTCACCTATGTATGCGTCAGAATGTTTTGTTGTTTTGGAGAAATTCTCTATTTTGCGTTCTAAAGTCAGATATAATACACTGGTTTCTCTTCAGATCATATAAATCTTTCACCTTTTAAAGTCAGATACACAATTAAGGTAAAGAAAATCAGCTCCAACATTTAGATTTTTTGGTTTTTTAAATCATAGTTTTGGTTTTTTGTAAAAGTCCTTCTTACAGGTTTTCTGTGTTTTAAGTGTCCTCTAAACTTTTGCTACTAGGAGGAATACCTCATTCGGTTTGATCTTGTCACAGCGCTAACTAACTTACAGTGTTTCCTTGGCTTTCCAGAGTTCTGCTGCTGGAGGAATTCAGGCACATCCAGAAAGCAAGAAGGAATCTCAACCTGATAACCAAAGCACAGCTGAATCGCAGACTGCTGGAAAAAGTTCAATCTCTATAACTCCTAAAATCAGAAAGAGAAAGAGCAGGACTACCACAGGCTCACCAGCAGAGATAACTGAACCACCTACTGATGGAGAATTCTCTGAAACAGAGTCAAATTGTTCTTCACCATCTGAGATCCAGGAGCCTATTCTGAGAATAACTAGGAGAAGACAGATCATAATTGCACCTACACCAGCATCCACTGTAAGAAAAAAGCAGAAAATAACTGCACTAAATGAATCTGTTGCCGAAGAAATTGTCTCTGAAGTAGAATCTCACACTTCAGGTGTTTCTAGAATTGGGTCTTCGCCAGAAGTGACAAGAACCAGAAATAAGGCCACATCTCTAACTGGTCAAAACCAAGAATCACATGCAGAAGTTCTATCTGATGCTGAGTCATCATACTCTGACATTTCATTCCCTGGAATTATACATAAGAGAACTACCAGAATTGTGCCAAGGAAATTACAGGCACAAACTGATAATAAACATACTAAGATTGTACCAGAAAATAAGGGAATCATGGATATCTCTATGAAATCAGAGGATTCAGGTACCAGACGGAGTTTGGATGAAGAGGAAAACAGAAGAATAGATGAAGAAAAGGAAAATGATAAAAGTTCTCAGTTGAAATGCCTTTCTAAACTTCAGGACACTAGTCTTCAGCAGTTAGTCTCTCAAAAGCATTCAACCCCTGAAAATAAGGCCACATCAGAGCCCTCAAATCTGAACCATGAGGCCATCATGAAATCATTAGCACAAACATTTGCAGTTGTAGAAGTAAACAGATGGAATGAAAAGGGAAAAAGCACCATAAAAGTAAATGACTTGACAAAGTTCAGTGGTCAGGGTGGTGATTATGATGAAGAATCCACAAGTAAAGTTGACAGTGAGCACAACAGTGAAAAGAGTATAGATGAATGTGATGCCAGACTAAACAAACCTGAGCTGGACCAGTCTCAGGATATAGAGGATTCTGTCTTACTAGTTCTCAGCAGTGATGAAAGCCAGCAATCTGAAAGCTATGAAAGTGAACAGGACACTCTGTGTTTTGTTGAAAATAGTGGTCAAAAGGAATCATTAAATGGAAACTCAGAAAATACATCTCATGAAAATGCATTCTTTGTAATTGACACAACTCCTGGAATCAATGCTGATAAAAAATTTTACTTGGAAGATAAGGCAAGTGAGGATATCACTGAGGAAGAAAAAGAAGAGGAAGAAGATGAAAACAGTGAGGAAGAACCATCAGATAGTGACAGAAATAAAGATGAGTATAGTGATGAAGATGACTTACTAAATAACACAAAGTCTAAACTGTAAGTTTTACCTTGATTTTTAAAAGTGAATTTGGGGAGTGGTGGAAATTAACTCTGGGTCTTGTGCATGCTAAGCATTTTCTTCCACTGAGCTGTAGTCCCCACCCCCAAAAGTAAATCTTTGATGCCTATTTCAAGTGGTTAATTTACCATAAAAATGTGAAATCATGGCCTGGGAAATGAGAAAATTACTGTTGGGTTCATTTTGGACCAGCTATCTATCTAGCATTTGCCTTATCTTTGTATCTTAAAACTTTCTCCCACTAGTTACAACCAAAAGTGTTTCTTTTGCTAATATATTGGATATCTGTTAAGATTTGCTGTGTGATTGTTAAGAGCAATCAATATAACAAGGAAAGTGAAAATAGGCAGCTTTTTTCATCAGTGATAACTGTAGAGAAATTGAAAAATACAGAAAAATTATTACCTGTAATCCCAAACATTATCCATAGAGAAGCACTAATGTTTGGGGCCATTTCTTTAGTTTCTTTTGTCCCCTGTAAATTGTTTTTTAATGGTACACCCTATGACAAATGTTATCCACTGAAGGGCTCTATGTATTAACAGATACCTAGGCTTTACTCTAAACCAGTGAAAGCAGTCAAAATCTAAGCTGAGACCTACCTTTTGCAAGCCACACTCTTCCTGTTAGTTGTATTATATATTCAGGCTAAGAATCCCAAGGCACTACAATGGAATGACTCACCTTCACTGAAGAAGTTGATTGTGCTTTAAATGCCTGTTCAGTTTATATGAATAATCAGGGAAGAAAGTGACTTTAAGTTCAAGTGTACATGCTTATAAATGTGATCCTTCAGTCATACAAAGTAGAAATTCTCACATAAACAGCTAAATAGCTGGAGCCCACACCCAGTGCAGAATATTCAGCTCTGATAGGCTTAAAATATGATTTGTACTTCAGTCCTCACCCAGGGCCAGCACTGAATTTAAAGCCTCACCCCATATCTCAACTATATGTTTTTTAAAAAACTGAGACAGGGTCTCAAAGTTTCCCACGCTATCCTTGAACTTTCTGTTGTCTTGTTTCAGCCTCCCAAGTCCACCAACATTTTATCTTTTTTAAACTCCTGTGACAGGGAAGCTCCCTGCCATTTAAGATTCACTGGTTTGGAGACACTGACCAGATGCTCTTCTTAGTCACCCAGGAAAGAATTTAAGTTTGCATAACTTGGAAGTTCAAAGTAGAAGAACCTGTTTTTGTCATTAGCATTGTTTGAGAAAATCTAGGAAATAAGTTTCAATGTTCCCCCAAAAACATTCTAGTTAAATATTTATTCATAGTAGAGTTTCTTCTAAATGAGTATACTAGATTTAAAATACATACTTACAGTTTTGTTTTGATTTGCTTTTGACTGCTGACAGTATAAGGCAGTGATGGCAAACCTTTTAGAGCTGTCAAAGATACAGCCCACTGTGGCACCTGTGCCATAGGTTTGCCACCACTGGTACAAGGAACAAATGATTTTTTTTAAAGATATAATATTTCTTTTTTTTTTTCTTTTATTCTTTTTCTTTTTTGGTGAGTACAGGGGATTGAAGTCATGACCTTGCATTTGCCAGGTAGGTGCTTATGCAGTTGAGCTAAATCCCCACCCCTGTTTCCATTTTAATTACTTAATTTTTTTGTTTTGTTTTTGAGACAGTTTGCTAAGTAGCTGAGGCTGGCCTTGAACTCAGTGTAGTTCAGGCTGGCTTTGGGGCAATCCTTGTGTCTCAGCTGGGATTACAGACATGCTTTACCCTACCTGGCTATTAGCTGGTTTCACCCTACCTGGCTTCACCCTACTTGGCTATTAGCTGGTTTTTATTTTCATTTTTGGTACCAGGGATCAAACTCATGACCTTGCGCTTGCCAGGCAGGAACTTATGCTACTGAACTAAATCCTCAGCCCCTGTTAGTTGATTGTTAAATGATCATTTCTCTTTCAGTCTGAAGTTGACAAGTAGCAGTATAGACCCTGGTCTGAGTATCAAGCAGTTGGGTGGTGTATATATTAATTTCAATGCAGAAAAACTTCAGTCAAAAAAGAAAACTCTAACACAGATCAAGGAGAAAAAGAAAAATGAGGTAAGTTACATGAAGTATTTGTCTTCTAATAGTGTGACTTCTAGAATTGTTAATTCTTTGGAGAAAGTAAATTTCTTATGATAAAACCACATTAGCCTAAAGTCCTCATATTCTGTCACACTAGAATAATCATTTCTTAATACAGACCCATCTATAAAAGGTGATATTTGAAAATTAATTTTAGGTCAGTACTTTTCTTCTTATACCTATCAGTTCTGATCCTGCTGGTTTTGTTTTTTAGTTCTTACTTTTTTATTTTGAAGGTAGTAAAATACAGCAAAACAAGACAGAATAAAGCCAGTTGAGACAGTGCAGTGAAATTGTACAGAACTACAGAGCAGGATACCAGGATAACAGTAATAGGTACCATAGTATATCTTGTTATCTTTATAGTAGTTGTCCATTCAATCAGGTAGAGCAAAATCAAACTAAAAACAGAGCATTATAAAACCAATCAAAGCAGAATATTGAGTAGATCAAAACAGTCAGAACAAAGCAAAACAGTGAGAGCAATATTTGCCTTCAAAGAGTAGAAGGAAATCCCCCATATTTGCTATATTGCATACAGTCATCCTCCCAAGAGATGCTCAGATCTCTGGTCCCCGGTCCGCATAATCAGCCAAGCAATACAGGCATTTGGTTGCTTTATGTACCATAGTTGCTATCAACTCTGGCTGACCTCAAAACCCTCCAATTGCTAAAGCGGGGTGGGGGCACACGGAACATTTGATTCTCGGTCCACACGTGGGTAGGCTCAAGGGAGACGCTAATTTGTTCTCTCCTTGGTGCGCCTGCTGCTTACTCACGCAGCCACCACTTACCAGGAAGGAAGGCGCATTGCTTCTTGCTCAGCCCCCCCCCAAGTTCCAACATAGCTAGATCTTGGGAAATGCTGACTTGCTCCCTTCCTGGCTCGTGCCATTACTTACCAGGAAGGAGGGCTTGTTGCTTCCTCTTTCAGTTCTTAACTTCCAGATCCTGTTGAGAATTTGAAAGCTAGGAATGCTGCTTTCTTCGCTTCAAAAAAATGTAATATTCTTACAGACATAAAATTGTAGATGATTTTGGGAGGAATTACTTTTAGGATAATTTTGTCTAAACATTAGCTTTACACAACATCTTGCATTGCTTTCTTTCAAATCTGTTTTCTAACCTTCACGGCTCTTCAGCCATTGGAATCCAGGTTTCTGCTTATTTTGATGTGCCTAGGCATTTGAGTTCAGTTGTTTGCTCTGTTCCCTGCCTGAACAATATTTTCCTTCTCTTTTTACATTCAATTAGCAAACTTTGAGAATGATACCTTCCCCTTCTTGCTTTGTTTTTTTGTTTTTGGGGTTTTTTTCTGGTACCGGGGATCAAACTCAAGACTTTGTGCTTGCGAAATAGGCATTTACACAGCTGAACTAAGCCCCAGCCTCTCCCCCATCTTGTTTTTTATGCTTTTTTTCCCCTAGTGGTGGGGATTGAACACAGGGCCTCAGTGCATGCTAGGCAAGTGCTCTATGGCTGAGCTACATCCTACTGTTGGCTCATAAAGACCTTTATTTCTCACCTGCACTACTCTTACTGGTTTTTCTTTGTTCACTTTCTTTGTTCTTTAAGCTGTCCTCTATTCATCTAGACTTTTTTTGGTGGGGGTTCAAACTCACAACCTCACGCTTACCAGAAAACATCTCTAGACATTATCAATTGCTGCCAATTGAAAACCACTGCCTAAGAGCCAAGTATAGGACTTGACACATGGCAGGCTCTTAGTCACCTGTTATATAAATGTTATGCTCTAAGTGGTAAGAAAGCTTGGACTGCTACTCTATTATTCTAAAACACTAGGCTTGAATCTGAATTGGGTGAATCTTTATTTCTGAATCGGTAATACCAAGTGACATGGCCAATTTAATGCTTGAATCTATATTTCTATGAACAAATACAAGAAAAATAAGTAGTCTTACTTGGGTCTTGCCCTGGGGAAAATACTACCTTGAAATTGATTTTTAATCACACAGTGTTATGAGAGTAATCATCTCAGGTAAGTAAAAAAATGAAGAGCAGATTTGACTACTCCAAATTTAAAGTGTTAAAAGCATTACATAACCATTGTTATATTTTTATAGCTCCTACAGAAAGCGGTTGTTACACCCGATTTTGAAAAAAATTATTGTGTCCCACCATATAGTGAATCAAAGCGGCAACTTCAGAAAAAACGCAGGGTAAGTACAGTGGTTTTTATTGTTTATAGTGCATACAGGTGCTTGGCTTTATGTTTTCAGATAATACAGCATAGTTGTACAATTAAAGACAGATATGAATGTATATATGGTTCCAAAGAAAATTATATTTGAGGACCATAATATAGTACATACTTCCATAAACACATTTAGTAAGAATTTTAACATTTTTGTAATCACAGTGGTACATACAAATAAAACTTAAACCTTTAAAACAGTGATAGCCAGCATATAGGTTTATCAATAATATCTCCTGGCTTTTAAGTAATGTGTAATAAATGTTAAGAATTTACATGTTCTATTGTAAAGAATTTAATGTAGCCAACTAAAAACCCTGATCTTTTTAATCTGACAGAAAAGAGAATTCAGTAAAATGAAAAAGTATTGTTTCTATCTGCCAGTTCAGCTAACAAGTATAATATTATCAAGGGAACTTAAGAGGAAAGAAGATGATACCATAGTAATGTCTAGTACTGGCACAAATAATACAAATTTCTGGACTAGTTTCTGAAACACTTAGGAGGTAGCTGAAATTGTTAATATTATGTATAAGCTCCATAAGTGAAAATTCTTTTATGTATTATCTCTAACATAGGCTGTTTTAGGCAATCCAAGCTGAAGCTATGTTAATCTTCCAGCAAGTCATCAGTTACTTGCTGATACAAAATAGATTTTGTTTTGTTTTGGTTTTCTGAGAAAGTGTCTCACTAAGTAGCCCAGGCCGGCCTTGAACTCACTGTGATCCTCCTGCCTCAGCCTTCCGAGTGCTGGGATCGCTGGCATGCATCACCACAGAAGACTCAAAATAGATTTTTAAGGCACTTTCATTTATGAAACTAACAAAACTATGTCTAACTTACCAATCACTTTTTGTCATTTTATAAAGGTGACTCTGGAGAGAAAATTTCTATAAAGTAATTTTGTCTTTAGTTCACAAGTTTTTCTGTGTATAATTTTGGAGGAAAATAAGTTAGGTACTATTAAGGTTAGAATGTTTATTTTTGAAATCTGAATTTCAGAAAGAGCGACAAAAAACTGCAGGTGATGGTTGGTTTGGCATGAAAGCTCCAGAACTGACTGAAGAACTTAAAAATGATCTCAAAGCTCTGAAGATGAGAGCAAGCATGGATCCAAAAAGATTTTACAAGAAAAATGACCGAGACGGCTTCCCTAAGTACTTCCAGGTATGAAGCAAACAGAATAGTGGAGATGTTCTACAGATTTCAGTGCGGAAAATAGTTGGTAGTCTTTATTTTTGAAATAGGTAAATATTTAAAATGTGCACACCAAACATGAACCAAATCTCCTTAGGCTATATAATGATGAAAACAATTCAGACAGCCACCAGCTTGTAATAGGGTACTATTAAAAACAGTACTGTAACTGTGTTTCTAGGTCAGCTTTCTAGAATTTAATAAAACTTTTAAGGGTCAATATATGAATGTGAGTATATGAATAATAGTTTATTAGGTATTAAATGGTAGAGTGCTTACTGAGTATGCATTGAGATCCTGAGTTCAAGCCTTAGTACTACAAAAAGAAAATACAGGGTAAGCCAGACCATCCATCCATGTAGGATAGAGGGGGCAAAGGGGTAGTTATGTGTACCAATCTCTTTCTCTTTGCGTGGTAGAAGGGCATCCCAGAGCAAATTCTAAATATTATTAAAAAGTTATATTTCAAGATATTTTCAAATAAAAGTTAGTTGATGTTCATTCTGCTTTTTGTTTTTGGTACTGGGGATCGAACTCAGGACCTTGTGCTTGCCAGGCAGGCCCTTACACCTCTGAGCTAAACCCACAGCCTCATTCTTCATGACTACTCTTTTTAGTCACTCATCTGAATTAACTCTACTAGTCTTCACTCTAGTTTGCTCTCCCTTCTGGTCCATCTTCCATTGTAGCCAGCTTCATATTCTTTTTTTTTAAATCTGCTTGGGGCAGGGGATTTAGCTCAGTGGCATAAGCACCTGCCTGTCAAGTGCGAAGTTGCGAGATTCCTGTTACAAAAAAAAAAATCTGCTCAGATTATACAGTACCTCTGCTGAGAAAGTGTAATAATTTATGACCTACAGGGTAGCTATTTTAACTTGGCCCTTCAGTCTTCACCCAAACCAGATCACCAACTCTGTCACATGACCATCTTAAGCTCAGTCACTTTCACAGAACATGCGTATGCCAGCCTTCGCCTTCTTCAACTTTGCTCCCTACCTTGTCTGATGAAATTTTACCAATACAAACCCAGCTAAAATATAATCTGTTAAATCTTCCTTACCTCTTTAAGGTAGAATTAGTCACTCAGTTTTCAGAGCATTTGTAGTGTTTTTGTTCAGTACATGTTACATTAGATTTTAAATTTTCTGTTTGTATCTTCCTTATGACTAGGTCCCTCAATGGCAAGGACTAAATTTTTTTTAGTCTTTGTTTCCCCAACATGTAGCATAGTGCCTGGTGGACAGTTGCCACCTATAAATTTTAGTCAGTTGAATGGAACAAATGCAGAACAGTTAAAAAGTGAATTCTAAGCTGGCAGTATTTAGGATACCAAGGGATTGTAATGGAATTTATGTGTACTGTATTCCATTGGATTGGACACACAAAGTTCACATTAATTGTTTTTTTTCTCTCCTTTAGTTTCAGTATTTATCATGAATGTAACTACTGTTTAGCACTTAATTATGAAAAAAATTTTGGATCTACTATAAGCTAATGAAATATCATTAGTAGTACCAGTGTGCTAAGTGATTTGTTTATGCTTAAAAAAAGGGCAAGACTAATTTTAATACTTGTGTAACACAGGTTTGTGTTTTCCATTCTGTTCTGTAAATATAATTTACCAGAGCTATACTGGAATACAGAAGTAACTTGGCATTTAGGTCTCACATGATTTATTTCAATCAATCGTTCATAGATTGGAACTATTGTTGACAATCCAGCTGATTTCTACCATTCACGAATTCCCAAGAAGCAAAGGAAAAAGACTATTGTAGAAGAACTGCTGGCTGATTCTGAGTTCAGAAGGTAATGAAATTACATTTCATTTTATAATATGTATATTTTTCTTTAAAATTTTTAAAATTAAAAATTCACATCACTAAAATATTAATACATTTAAAAATAATGCATTACCGATTAAGATGAATTACATTCTCATGAAAATAAAGGTAGTGCAAATTTCTTTAAGTCTGGCATAATTTCTTTTCTTTTCTTTTTTTTTTTTTTTTGTCTTTTTCATTTTTTTACCGGTACCAGGGATCGAACTCACGACTGCCTGCTTGCAAGGCAGGCGCTTATGCCACTGAGCTAAATCCCCAGCCCCAAGTCTGGCATAATTAATGAGAATTAGAGGTTCATGTCTCTTTCTAGAGATGACTGCACATCATGTATCCTTGTGAAACTTCATTGTACACTCATGAGAGAAAGAAGGTGAACAGGGCCACTACTCCATTATTAGTATTCTTATGAAAATAGTTTTTATGTGACAGCTCTCTTCCATGGGTCTTGTCCACACATTTTGCACATCAGTGGTTATTTAATGTTTTCTAAGGTTCTAAGAAAGGGAAATCACGTTGTGTTTTCAGGTAAGTGCAAACTTTGTTTTGCTTTATCCTTTTTATCCCACATTTACATCCTATATGTAAAACTGCCTGATGGGATACACAGGTCTTTAAATTCCAAGCTTTGTGAGGGAAAACAGTAGCTGGAGTATTCTGTATCCTCAGCTCCTAGAATGGCTCTTGACGTGCATCTTAGTATACATATGATGTGAACTTGAAAACATTTTTGAGCTTTAGAATATCCTAAGGTTTTATTAATTTCTTTTTTTTTTTTTTTTTTTTTTTTTGGTACCGGGGATTGAACTCACAACCTTGTGCTTGCCAGGCAGGCGCTTATGCCACTGAGCTAAATCCCCGGCCCAAGGTTTTATTAATTTCTAATGACTGATTTGTTATACTTTAGACCTGAAGGTTTGATTTTTCTTTTCAGATATAACCGAAGGAAGTACTTAGAGATCATGGCTGAAAAAGCAGCAAACGCAGCTGGAAAAAAATTCAGGAAGAAGAAGAAATTTCGCAATTAATATTCACCAAGCAAAGTATTTTACATCTTCCCTTTATTTATTTATAAAAGATGTTTTAAAGACTAATACCATTACACAACTTTACTAGCTCTGTTTATATAGAGATTTCTGTTTGGAAATAAAATTGACCAGTAGGTAATCAATCACATGCCTTTTGAAATAAAAGTAAATATTCTACAAAAGGCCATTCTGGCTTAGACTGCTTAAGAAGGAAAAGATATCTCAACCATTTTAAGATAATTAACATTTTTGCCAGGTATGGTGGCTCACACCTGTAATCCCAGCACTCGGGAGGCTGAGGCAGGAGGATCGTTGGAGTTTGAGACCAGCCTAGGCTACAAAATGAGCTCACGGCCAGCCTGAACTGCACAGTGAGACCCTGTCTCAAAAAGACAAAAAAAGATAATTAACTTTTTGTCAGGTTTTTAGTGCTTGGTTATTTAAGGAAAATTTACTTAAAAGGTATAGCATCTGCCAATATGTTTAAAGAACTTAATGTCCTGTGTAGTTTTATATATACGTATACATGTGTGTATATGTGAACAGGGGAGTTGGTAGGGAGGCAGTATCCTAAAATTAGTTGCAAATTCACATCTAGGTTGGTCAAGCTGGGATACAGAGATCTGCTTGTTTGCAGTTTACAAGTCACAACTGAAAATGAAGGAATGATAAGTGTATTCTTGGAGCAAATGTATATTAGCATTAAACCAAAGAACTAAGTGAAGTTATAAAGAAGCCTTAAAAGATAAGTTTCCCAAGAAAGTTTGGGATGTAGGTGGAAGATATACAAAAGCTGTTTTCTTTTCTTGGTGCCAAAAAAGGAATAGTTGATCTTATATACATTTACTGTTTTGTTTCAAGCAAAACAGGATTGAAAAGTAGCATTTTAATTTGACCAGAAGGTGAAGTGGCTCAGTTTATTTCCTCTCCAAAGGCACAATATGCTTGCTGGCTAAGTGGCTTTCTGCCAGCAAGAACAGTTGGTCATTTCTATTGCTTCTTGGTGAGTTTTAGCCTCCTTTATAGCATTATTTACTGTATCTTTATTTTCCTAGCATACTATTTTGGATTTCAGTAAATGTAAGATCTTGTATTTTATTGTTTGGGGTCATAAACAACTTAGTAAAACAGTAAAGACAATAGCTTTCGCTGGTAAAGTTAGGGGAGCATTTATATTTTCTTTTATAGAAAAACTTATTTCAAAAATACGTTTTGCCTTCTGTGTAATATAGAATCTCATGACAGAATTAAGTATTGAGAGAGAAAGAAGAAATAGTTATAAGTTACCTGTTAAGGCTTGGATCTTAAATGATCCCAAATTCTCATACTATAGAAAATTTTGGTTTGTAGCCCATGGTGTTACTGGAAGGTGGTGAAACCCATAGGAGGCAGGGCCTAGTGAAAAAAAAGTTAGGTCCCTGGGGTTGTGCCCTGGAAGGAGGTATTTGGGACTCTGCTCTTTTTCTCTTGTATCCTGGCCATCATGACATTCTGCCTTTCCATAGACCCAGCGGTGACAGGGCTCAGTAGTCTGTGGGAACTGAGACCATGAACCAAAAAAACTTTCCTCCTTTTATTTTTATTTTATTTTATTTTTTTATCGGTATCAGGGATCGAAACCACAACCTCCTGCTTGCAAGGCAGGAGCTTATGCCACTGAGCTAAATCCCCAGCCCTGACTTGCCTCTTTTTAAGGTGATTATTTTGTCACAGATGGAAAACTGACTAACACACCATTTAACCTGTAGTAAAGTTGAAAGGCTTTAACAAATGTAAAATACTTAACCTTATTCAAATGACAGGAATTATTCAACTAAAAATTCACCTATTAATATTTATTATGTAGGTGTATAGCTTTTTTATATCAAATGTGACAGGCTACACAAATTACAGTATCTAATGGTATACTTTTAAGTAAAGGCCAGAAGGTAAAAAAAGCTTTGGTCTTTTGTTCTCTGAGTGATCCTCGCCTACAGATATCTGCATATCGCAACATGTGATTGGGTTATGATAACCCTATTTTTAAGCTTAATAAGTTGAAGATGCTTGTAATACACTTAACATACTAAACATTACACCTTAGCCTAGCTTACCTTAAATTATACTCAGAACACTTACATTAGTTTATGCTTATACAATATAGACTATGTAAGTGTCAAGTATGTCCATCATGTGATTTATTGTGTACCTGTATCCAAACAATGATGGCAATACAGCATTCTGGTCTTACTATTATTTTCCTTAAGATTACATGCTGACTAGGGGTTGTATATCACTGCCACTGCCCAGGGAAATGTCACTAGCCTAGGCAAAGTTTAAAATTCCAAGTATAGTTCCTACTGAATGCAGATTATTTCTCACCATTGTAAAATTGAAGAATTGTAAGTCAAACCATCTTTAAGTCAGGGACTACTCATCTTTGAAAAATGGTTGAAATTATTTTGCTTTTTAAGCAAAGTAACTCTTGAGAAAAGTTTTGGTGACTATGGATTTGCCTAATTTGGACATTTCATATAAATGCAATGATACAGTATATAGTCATATTTAAGTTCATGTTATAGCATGAATCAGTATTTCAATTCCTTTTGGTTGCTGAATAATAGTCCATCAAATAAATATACTACATCTTGTTTATCAGTTGATAGACATTTGGGTTGTTTCTACAGCTGACCATAAAAAATGATGCCACTATGGACATTCTTGTACACATCTTTGTTTAAAAGTTTTTTACTTTTATTGTTTTTGGTTGAAACAGGATATATGTAATTCAGGCTGCCCTTAAACTATGTAGCCAGTGCAGGCCTTAAACTTGCAGAAGTCTTCCTGCCTTAGCCCCATGGCAGCTGGGATTACAGGCCAGTGCCACCATGGCCTACCTTGGGCACATTTTTTAATTTGGGTGTATACCTGGAAGTGGGTTGCTGGGTCATATAACTCTAATGTGTTATTTTCTTTGAGAAGTTGCCAGACTTTTCTCAAGAGTGTATACCATTTTACATACCCACTGACATACTATATGAGGATTTCAGTCTTGTCAGCATCTGTCTTATGCCACTTCCTATTGTGATTTTGACCTGAGAAACTAATATTTTTTATTAAAGGCTATGAAAATATCCAGAATGATGCAATATTTGTCCTAATATGAATAACTTTCACTATATTATTCTTCAAAGTAGTCCGCTGCTACCTCTTTAATTCATTTTTTATTTTGGTACTGAGGATCAAACTCTGAACCTTGCACTTACCAGGCAGGCACTAATGCCACTGAGCTAAATCCCCAGCCTACCTCTTCTATGATGGGTTGCTGAATCAGAACCCTGCCTTCTGTCCTTTCATTTATAAATCAAATTAACTTCCAATCCATCCTTTAGAGTGAGTGTATTTTTTTCTTTCTCACAAAGAGAACTTCTTTTTCATTTGACTTGGCGTTGGCAAAAGAGACCATGGAAAGCAGTGTGATAACTGGGCCCCTCAAATCTCTGTGCCCAGCCCACAATGCCCAGATAAACAACTATTTCTGGGACATGGTATGGCTTCACTGAAGAACTATTTTAAATAGTAAGATAATTCAGTAAAATGATTTGGTATAAAGTTAATTATTTAAAATCACAAATGATGGCCAAGGATTTAGCTCAGCAGCGCAAAGTGCCTGCCTGGCAAGCATGAGGTTGTGAGTTAAATCCCTACCACCAAAAATAAAATATCAAATGTCTTTTATAGATAAAAAAAAAAAAAAAACAAAAAACAATTTGTTAGGGAATATAATGGAAGGTCCCAACAAAAACCATAAAGTATTTAGGAATAAAAGTTTAAAAAGTCAAGATCTAGGACTGTGTAGCTCAGGTCTACATAAAGGAAACTTACTACTACGTTGAACAAAGGAAAGAGCACAGTTTTATTATCCCTACTGCTCTTAAAAGTAGTAAGACAGGAGCTGGAGGTTTAGCTCAGCGGCATAAGTGCCTGCCTTGCAAGCAGGTAGTCGTGAATTCGATCCCCGGTACCGATAAAAAGGAAAAAGACAAAAAAAAAAATAAAAAGTAAGACAGCATCCAAATTGTTCACTTCTCCCTATAATAGTCTATAAATTAAAGTCTCCCAAAAAAATACCTCCAAAGATTAGAGTCAGACTAGCTATAATTAAAACTCAATGTGTGGGGCCAGGGATTTAGCTCAATGGCAGAAGCCCCTGCCTTGCAAGTATGTGGTCATAAGTTCAATCAACAGTAAAAAAAAAAAAAACTGTGAAAGACAATGTAGAACTGTGTACTGAGTCTCAAGTCTTCCTGGTTTCTCATCCAGGCTTGCTACTTAATAGCTATATATTCTTGGACTAGTTATTTTTAAGTATCACGTTTTTTTAAATACTGAAAATTGAACCCAGGGTTTCACACATGCCAGACAAATGGTGTTCCACTCACCTACATCCCCAAACTAATCATCCATCCATCCATCCACTCATCTTTGAAACAGGCTCTTAACTACATTGTCCAGGCTGGCCTCAAACTTTTGATCCTCCTAACTCCACTTCCAGAGCAGCTTATATATTACATGTCATACCTAGCACAGTATTCTCAGTAATACAAAAATAGCCAGGAAAAATCTTTGAAAAAGGTTGATTACTTCCAGAAAGTTGGCCGAGCACTAAACAGCCAATCAGCCTCTCTGAGATTCAAAATCACATGCTATAACAAAACAATCTGGAGAAAAAAAGGAGGAAAGTGGGTTTCTGAGAATTACAGCCCACAGGGTAAATAAGCAGAACTCTGCAGAAAAAGAAAGTGGCAAACCACTTTTTTCTCTGACTCCCTGGCTCATCATGAGAGAAGAGACTCAAATCTATAGACACAGTCAAGGCAGGTGACTCCAGAGGCCTCCAGGGAGAAACACCAGTGGAATGGAATAGTAGATGCTGTGATCTACACCAGCTGAAGAGGCTCCCCTGCAGAGGGTATGTGGCCAGACACCTTTTAGGGAGCAGCCAGCTGCACCCAGAACTCAGCAACTGTGGGTTGGCTTCCTTTCAGGGCTCTCAGTGACTGGGTGAGGCACAAGTGCAGGAGACATACAGGATCAGGGAGATGAGGTTAGCAGGCAAGAGGCACCCAGACTGCTGTAGGCTGAACCTCAGGCCCCAACTTAAAATCAGGCCAGGATCAGCCTGAACTGTGGTGCTGAAAGAACCAGAATTGGTACGCCATTCTTCCAGTAGAATTGCTGGGATTATCCAGCACTCCCCCCTAATATTACTGAAGGTTTGCTGGAACCATTCAGCATAGATCTGGGCTCTGCCTCTTTTGTGTATCTGTGACAGCAGAGACACACTTTCAACTGGGCACTACCACAAAACTACAGATCCCAGAAGATAACCACACACTTAAAATCACAGTGAACTTTTTTCTTTGTTTTTCCATGAGTGTGAACATAGCTTTTAGTTTGGTTTTGTTTTGTTCTTGTTTTCTTCTATTTTTGGTATCAGGAATCAAAGTCAGAGCCTGGTGCTTGACAGGCTGGCGCTGTACCACTGAGCTGAATCTATGGCCCTCTCTCCTATCTTCACCAGTTTCCCACAGCTTGGAAATCTTCCTTTTCTTTCCCCTTTGCTTCTAATTGCTTTCTCTTTTGTCTTTGTTTTCTCCTCTTAGCCCTTTTACATTTTCTCCCCACATAGTAAACTTGCTCTAGTGAGGGCATATTTATTTTATGTAGTCTTTGTTTTTGTAATATAACTATAAATCTTGTACATATGGTTAAAGGTGGCAAATTAATAGTTACCACAGTTTGTCATTTTCTAGACTCTGCTTGATGTTGTTACACCAAGGTGACATAGTTGTGATAAGTTGTTCTTCCTTGTATACCAATATTGAGATTGTCTGGGAGGTCATAAACAATATCATAGTCCACTATCAAAGAACTGGGTGCCAGGTCAAATAAGCAGCAACTTCTCATCCTTATAAATTGAAGAGGCAGCGTCTGAGACAGACTCAAAAGCCAAAAGACTGCTACACCTAGAAGACATTTCTGTAAAGTTGTCCTTTCTAAGGAAGTCTCAATATTACTAATATCTACCTACCAGAAGCAATTTATAAGCATTAATGGAGAAAACCAATTTTAAAATACAGAAAATGAGAAGACATAGATCCAGACCTCCCCAGGCAACCCCAGACCTCCAGCTTGCCCAAGGCAAAGCCAGGGAAGACTGAAGTAGAAGAAATCAAAAGCCACCCAGCTGAGCTTTTTGAAATGGCAGGAGTAGAAATAACAATGTAGATGAATGAGTTTCTAGGAAAAATAATTTCACAGATAACTGAAGAGATGATGACCCAAATAAAGGACATGGTTCGTGAATTTAGAATTTTTTTTAAAAAGCTTAGGATAATGATGGAAATCATGAATGTCCAAGAAATAGGATCCATGAAACAGATTCAAACAGTTATCAAGGAAATCAAAACTTGTACTGAAAGTATACCCAGCAGAAACAACCAATGTGAAAACAAGACACAGAAGACAGGTTTTTGGTTAGCATTATCAAATAAGAGACTTCTTCTCTCAAATAAGAGACCTCTTCTTCATCAACAGCAGCTCTGGTGCAAGGAAGAGTGATATAAGATTGATCCAAATCAATGGAAAATCAGAAGATAGTACAGAGGACATAAAAAAATTGTTCTCAGAAGTAATGGCAGAAAACTTCCTAAGCATGAAGAAAAATGCATAAAGAACTCTGTGATTAGCCAGGATCAGAAAAAAAACTATGTCAAGGCACATAATAGTCAAGATTCCAGAATTTGAACACAAAAACAATATTAAAAACTGTTCAAAAGCTGGGAATGGTAGTACATTTCTGTTATCCCAGCACTTGAGAAGCTAAGGCAGGAAGATTATTGGAAGTTCAAAACCAGCCTGGGATATAGAAGTGAGGCCAGCCTAAACTACAGAGCAAGACTATCAAGGATCATCCTATATAATTGTTGGGGGAAAATCATTTCATAATTACACCATGATTAGGGCTTGTTTGTGGCCTAATAGCTTGCCATGTGGGCCCACTATGGTATGTGAGAACATAATGCCATGTGCCTCTTCAGGTCACAGTATCAGGTCACAGTAGAGGCCTCACTGGTCCTGGGATGCTGTGACACCCCAGGGCAAGACGGCATCAGCTGAAGACATCCTGGTTAAGAACCCAGTAGTAATAAAAACAATGTTTTTAGGACAAACTCTTAACCTGCCATCTCTCTTCACTTTCTGGATCTACATAAAGATCCTTATTAGCACAGGTCACCTCTGCCTTCTGAGTCATGTGATAAGACTAGCTCCCAGAGTCTTTGTCTCTGCCTACCCTGAGGTATTGACTTCCCAAACTCCCATGTAATGCATTACTAAATATGTCTGTTTCTTATTACTGTACCACTCAGCAGGCAGTTGGGGATCTTGGCCAGGTCTCTGATACAATATAGTGACAATGACCATACTTCTAAAACTATTATACTGATTTATGCAATTAAATTAGTAGGAAAAAAGGAGGGCTCATCCATCATCAGTGATTCTGCAACAAATCTTCACTTATTCTCAAAAAACATTCTGGCTAAAACCAATATTTAAAAATAAAGCATAAAAAATCCATTAAAAGGCAAACATTTAATAACCTGAATATAGTATGACTTTAAACTTAGAAGCCAGAAAAGATTGACAAAGCTAAAAATGCAAATTTTTGTAAAACAGAAAACAAAATTGACACAGACTGGAAACAATAATTGTAACACATACCACAAAGCGTTTTTTTTTCCTTAATAGTAATTTCCACAAAATGATTTTTTAAATGGTGTCTTTATTATAGCCAGCCTAGGGGTTGGAATGACAGAAAAAAAAGAGCACAATTGAGAACAGATAAATTACAGGAAAAGAAATACAAATCGTCCTATGTATCAATAGATGCTCAGCTTCACTCAAAAGATATGAATTAAAGCTACACCTCAAAACTATTTCTCATCTGTTTGCTAACATGAAGGCTGTCGGGAACATTATCATACACTGCTGGTGAGAGTAAAATGGTTAAATCTTTATGAGGGCAAACTGCCAATATCTATCAAAGAATGTACAAATTAGGAACACGAAGAAAATTG